AAGAAGGCCATGGAATTTGCAAATATAATGAAGTATGTAATCCGTTCCATAATGTCCCAGGAGTACACCCACCAAGTGAACCCGGCCAGCGCCCCACCCTGAAGAGACAGCAGTGCTAATCCAGCCCACTGCAGTCCACTAGTTTGGGCTTCTGAGTGAGCTTTGATTCTAGCTTTCACCTGTTCAAGGGGATGCAGCTGTTCTTTCAGGTGATCAATTTTATCCAGTAAATCCTGCTCTCTCTTTTTCTGAAACTCTTCTAAATGCAAGACTGTAAACAGTCTATGAACCAAGGATTTCATGTTTTCCATCTCAGTAGCAAGCTCATTACTCAGGTTTTCTTTCTTGGGGCACTGCACATCATATGCTATTTCATTAATGACAAGTTAAAATCATTCATTAGCAAAATATCCATCAAGGTTGAAGCTGGAATCTCATAACCATCTGCTGTGAAGATTGCTGCAGTTTTGATGCCCTTATCTTCGTTTTGTAGATCCTGAAGGAACGAACTAACTATTGACAACATTGGTTTGACTACAAACTGACAGCGTTCTTTTCTGGATAGCAGAGTAAGAGTTATCAAGGGAAGGCCGTGTCTATAATTAACTGTTACTTCGTCAGGTGGCACCACTGTACCGTAAAGGTATGACTGGCAGTATTTCAGATTTCCACACAGCTGCACACACAAAACCTGGGGCGGCAGCGGCCTCGGGCGCGTTGGGCCCAGGCTCCTGGGGTCGGCAGCCGCTGCGGGAGGCCCCTCAGGAGCATCCTCCCGCTGGCGCGGGCGGGCCCCCAGCTAATTTTTTGTACATATATTTTTAGTTGGTCAATTAATTTCTTTCTATTTATAGTAGAAACGGGGTCTGATTCCTTTTTTATTTTTATTTTTATTTTGAGACAGAGTCTCGCTTTGTTGCCCAGGCTAGAGTGAGTGCCATGGCGTCAGCCTAGCTCACAGCAATCTCAAACTCCTGGGCTCAAGTAATCCTACTGCCTTAGCCTCCCGAGTAGCTGGGACTACAGGCATGTGCCACCATGCCCGGCTAATTTTTTCTACATATATTAGTTGGCCAATTAATTTATTTCTATTTATAGTAGAGATGGGGTTCTTGATCTTGCTTCAACTGGTTTTGAACTCCTGCCCTCAAGTAATCCGCCCCTTTGGCCTTTCAGAGTGTTAGGATTACAGGTGTGAGCCACCCAGAGGGTTGCTCTTTTAATTTATCAACGTCAGGGAAGTCTTTACTGATGCGGCAACATTTGAACAAAAATTTGAAAGAAGAGGGCCAGCCATAAGGATAGCTAAAGTAAGAGAGATATCCATGAAGATAGTGAGGAGTCGAAAAGGGATGGAGTGGAATAAGCAAAGGGGAGAGTGGCTGGCAGAAGATGAGGTGGGAGAATGAGGGTGTGGGGAGAGTCAATTCTGTAGAATTTTGTAGAGCACCATGCTTAAGGCTTTTGTTCTATTCTGGGTGAGATAGGAAGCTATTGGATGCTTTTAGACAGAGGCGTGACATGATCAGTTTAAAATGATCACTGTAGCTACTGTGTTGAGAATAGATTTTTTTTTTTTTTGAGACAGAGTCTCACTTTGTTGCCCAGGTTAGAGTGCCGGGCGTCAGCCTCCGCTCACAGCAACCCTCAAAACTCCTGGGCTCAAGCAATCCTCCTGCCTCATGCCTCCCATGTACTGACTACAGCATGCCGCCACCATGCCCAGCAATTTTTTCTATATATATTAGTTGCCAATTAATTTCTTCCTATTTATAGTAGAGACGGGGTCTCGCTCTTGCTTAGGTTGGTTTCGAACTCCTTAACTCAAAGGATCCACCCACCTTAGCCTCCCAGAGAGCTAGGATTACAGGCGTGAGCCACCGCGCCCGGCCGAGAATAGATTTTAATGTAACAAAGATGTAGGCTGAGAAACCACATAGGAGGATATTGCAAAAATGCAAGTGGGTAAAGACAGGAATTGGACCGAGGTGGCAGTAATGGAACAGGTAAGACATAGACAGTTTCTGGATATATTCTGATAATAGAATCAATGAGACTTCCTAACAGATAGAATGTAAGATATAAGGGGAAAAAAAAAAGGAGTTAAGAATGAACTTCAAAGTTTTTGGCATAAGCAACTTTTTAATTTTTTTAATTTTTATTTTTTTTGAGACAGAGTCTCACTTTGTTGCCCAGGCTAGAGTGAGTGCCATGGCACCAGCCTAGCTCACAGCAACCTCAAACTCCTGGGCTCAAGCAATCCTCCTGCCTCAGCCTCCCGAGTAGCTGGGACTACAGGCATGCACCACCATGCCCGGCTAATTTTTTCTCTATATATTAGTTGGCCAATTAATTTCTTTCTATTTATAGTAGAGATGGGGTCTTTGTTCTTGCTCAGGCTGGTTTCAAACTCCTGACCTTGAGCAATCCACCCGCCTGGGCCTCCCAGAGTGCTAGGATTACAGGCATGTGCCACTGTGCCCGGCCATAAGCAACTTTTTAAAAGGAAGGAGTTGTCATATACTGAAATGGACCAGGGAAGAGTATTGGGAGTTTACTTTGGGGCATGGTGAGGCCTTCTAGATAGCTAGGTGGATATGTCGAATAAACAGTTGGATAGTTAAAAGTAAGGAGTAGGCTAGGTATATAAAATAGGGATACATCAGCAGGTAGATTGCTTTTATTTTATTTATTTATTTATTTATTTTTTGAGACAGAGTCTCACTGTGTTGCAGCCTAGAGTGAGTGCCGTGCATCAGCCTAGCTCACAGCAACCTCAAATTCCTGGGCTCCAAGCGATCCTACTGCCTCAGCCTCCCAAGTAGCTGGACTACAGTCACGCACCACCATGCCCCTAATATATATACATATATATATATATTATATATATTTAGTAATAATTTTTAGTTAGCAATAATCTAAGTAGAGACAGGGTCCTCACTCTCTCAGCTGGTCTCAAACTCCTGACCTTGAGCAATCCACCTGCCTAGGCTTCCCATAGTGCTAGGATTACAGGCATGAGCCACTGTACCTGGCCAGTAGATTGCTTTTAAAGTTATGAAACTGGGTAAAATCACCAAGAGAAGAGATAGAGACGAGGTGTGTGTATAGATACTGAGTCCTGTGATACATGAAGATTTCAGTCTGGGCAATGTGGAATCAGGAGGATGAGAAGGAGCAGCCAATGAGGTAGAGGTAGAGAGAGAGAAAGAGGAAGGGATAAGGGTTGGAGGAGGAGAAGGAGATGTGTCCTGGAACCCGAGTGAAAGAAGTATTTTAGGGAAGAAGAAATGATCACCTGGGTTAAATGCCACTGGACAGCCAAATAAGATGAGGAATGAGAAGTGATCAATGAATTTAGCAACTTGGAAGTTCACAAGAATGGTTTAGTGGAGTTGCAGGCATAAAAGACAAACGGTAGAATTGCAGACTGCAAGTATAAACTGCATTTTGGAGAACTTTCCCATTAAATGGGAGAGGAGATGGGGCAATATCTGAAGAGAGAAATTGAGTCAAAAGAGGTATTTTTTAAATTATGAGAGAAGTATCAGCTTGTATAAATGCTGCTAAGAACAATCTAAGAAAGAGGGAAACATTGATAATGCAGGTGAAAGAAAGGACAATGTGGGATGATGTCTTTGAGTAAGCAAGAGGAGATGGGACCAGGGCGCAAGTCCAGGGGTTGGCCATAGATGAGAGTATAAATAGGTCATGGTAAGAGGAGGGAACAGAAGACAGAAGGTGTATACAGGTAGGTGAGTAGAAGTGATGATGGGAGCTTAGGATGTTTTTTGATTGATTTTATTTTCTCTGTGAAAGAGAAAGGTGATAGTGTGGACGTTGTAGGAGGTGTTTAAAGTCTCAGAGGAGAAAATATGTAATAACTCAGTTTAAAAAAAGCATATTGATTGGATTTGTGGTTAGAAAACTTAGGTTTGACTTTCAGGTTGGCCACTCATCAGCTGGGTAACAAATTTCTCTCTTTTCTTTTTTTTTTTCTCCCTCCCTCCCTTCCTCCCTCCCTCCCTCCCTCCTTCCTTCCTTCCCTTTTCTTGTTCTTTCTTTCCCTCCTTCCCTCCCTCCCTTCCTTCCTTCCTTCTTTCTTTTTTTGAGACAGGATCTAGCTCTGTCGCCTGGACTATAGTGCTAGAGTGTAGTGGCTTCATAATAGCTCACTGCAATGTCAAACACCAGGGCTCAAGGCTTCCTCTTGCCTCAGCCTCCCAGGTAGCTGGGACTACAGGCTTGGGCCACTGTGCCCAGCCAAAAATTTAACTTGTCTATTTAACCATTTCGTTTTCCAGTTTGCTTGTGGGTAAAATGGAGATGATACCTACTGTACAGGATTATTTTTAAATAAGAGAAAGAATAAATGTGAAAGAAAAATATTTTGTAAAGAACTCAATAATAATTTAACATTTGAATCCAATCCACTTATCAAGGACTTGCCACGTGCTTACCAGGCATTGCGATGTGTTTTACACACATTATCTTATTTAATCTTCGCATTAATTCCGTGAGATAAAGCATTCCCATCCCATTTTACTGATGAGGAAGTTGAGCTTCAGAGAAATTAAGAATCTTGCTCAAGGTTCACAATATAACAGATGGCAGAGCTAGTGTTCCAATTTAGATTCAAACTCCAAGGCTCATACTCTTAAGAACTTTCCTTTTCTAAGGCATTATTTTCTCCTAAGTTAGCTTAAGTGTATTAATTTATCAGGTTTCTTTCTTGGAGCAAGTTATAAGGGTCTTCTTGGTACTTTTTAGGTAACAAGAAAGCTGAGTAGTCTTTTTTTCTAGATACTTGCCAATATTTTGTATTCGTTTTATATTTGATTTATCCAATGTCGCCAAGAGTTGAAACAGAGAGGACTGTTATGAAAGAGGTTGTTGCTCCTAGATTTTTAGGAGAAAAGTCTTCGAAAAATATATATTAAAATATTAGAGCCTTTAAAACATATATTCTATTTCCCAACTCCACAGAGCCGGTCCTCAGGAATGCCCCTAAAGGGATGACAGGAATGTGCTAGCTATCAGGCCCTGAGATGTGGGTTTGAGGGAGGTTGGTCTCAAAGGGGTGAGTAGGAGTTGGGTGTGTGGTTGGGCAGGTTAAGGCTGGTTTCTGGACTGAGGCGGCGGAAAGAGGAGGACGGTTGGTGTCCCTCCGGGTCGCCAGGGTGGGGGCTGGGAACGCCGGCCCAGGGGGCGGGGTGTGCGGCGGGCCGGCCCCAGGGGGCGCGTGCGCGTTACCACACCCGGCGTTTCAAAAGCCTAGCGGCACGTCGCGCCACGAGCGCTGAGTGCTCTCTCGGTGTGACTGGTGTTGCCCAGCAGTCGCCGTCAGTTCTCGCGGGATCCGAGTCCCCACTCGACGCCCGCTCTCTTCTCGACGCCCCGGCGGCGGGTGTCGCCATGGTTCACTTCTTGCACCCGGGGCTCTTGCCACGGACCATCGTCCCCCCCGACGCCCAGAAGGATGCCCTGGGCTGCTGCGTGGTGCAGGTGAGCACCGGCGTGGGGGCGGGGACGCAGGCCTCGTGGTGACGCGGGACTCCCGCGAGCGCGGCAAGTTGTCCGGGACGCAGCCCAGGCGCTTGCTGGGGAGTGTGGCCGACGCGCGAGCGAAGTCTGTAGAGGCCGAGCCCCGAAGTCTGTAGAGAAGTCGCCGGGGAAGTGCGTGGGGGAAGTGGACCGGGCGCTGGAGGGGCGTTTTCTGCCCCGGGCGCTTCGGCCTTCCGGCCGAGGGCGTTGACCGTGCACCGCTGAGAGTTGGCGCGGCGGGAGCTGAGACCCGCGGGACCCGGACGAGCCCCTTCTCAGGTCTCCAGGTCTCTCCTGTTGCAAAGGCGGCAACTCTTGCAGGGCCGTGTGAGCTTGGACGCAGGTGCTAGGCGGGCGCTCGCCTTGTCCCGCAGTGGACGGTGTTGATTACTCTTGTCATAATGAACCCAAGTGCCCTAAACCTTGACCGTTTCCCCACGTGAGTGTTGTGGACGTGACCCTCCCCAGAGGCTGTGACCCTTGAGCTCTGCGACCCAAGGTTTGAGCTCTCCTGAGTCTGGCTGAGGGAAAAAAATCCGGAAGACTGAGATAACTTCAATTTCACGTGTTGTCCCCTCCCCCTCCCGAATGCTTGTTAAACTCTGAGGAAAATGCAAACCAAAGGCCGAGCGCGGTGGCTCACACCTGTAAACTTAGCACTCTGGGAGGCCAAGACGGGAGGATTGCTTGAGGTCAGGAGTTCGAGACCAGCCTGAGCAAGAGCGAGACCCCGTCTCTATTAAATACAGACAAATTAGCCGGGCGTTTTGGCGAACGCCTGTAGTCCCAGCTCGGGAGGCTGAGGCAGGAGGATCGCTTGAGTCCAGGTTGCAGTGAGCAATGATGACGCCACTGAACTCTAGCCAGGGCGACGGAGCGAGGCGGGGAAAGAAAAAAAAAACAAGCAAGCAAAAAGAATATGTATTTAGGGCGTACTGTGTGTGAAATACTACTTTTCTTAAGTAATTTGGTAATCTCTGGTGTTTTGTGAACACATTGCTAATATCTGTTTCACTGATGTAAAGAAGTTGGGAGCCGTGAAACTTAGTTGATTTAGTGGTGAACTTAAATTTCAGCTGTTCTGACATCTGACTCCTCACTTAACAGCGCCCGGAGGACTACCACCTGCGAACTCAAAAGGGTTGAGTGGTGAAAGCTCAACTCAAAACTAATGCGGAAAAAAGGAACTATTCCAATTAAGGTTGTGCTTTACATATCAACACCTTGTTGGATGACTTTTGTGCCCTGCAGAGATCTGGCCTGTAGCGTTTTGCACTTACTTGTAACTCCCTTTGTCAAATTCTGGAAGTTTCCTTCTGTTTCTAGTTTGAGCTTAAGATCTTGAATGTGTGTTTTGATAAAATTCTTTTTTTGGCATTTATATTAAAAATAATATGAATGTTCTTTTTTCTCTTAATGTTAATTTTTAATTTTTAAATTAATGTGTTTTTCTTTACTCTGAATTTCAGTGATTGAGAATTTAACTTTATATGTTGTTAATAAATCCTACCTGTCATGATGTATCGTTCATGGTGTATTGCAGGATTTTCATATTTTTTGAGTTTTTATGTGCATGTTTATGAGGAATATTGCTCTCTAGAAATATATTATCTGGTTTTAGTATCAGGATAATGCTGTCCTCAAAAATTGAATTGGGAAGTGTTTCCTCTTCTATTTTTTGAGTTTGTGTAGAATTGGTGTTATTTGTTATCCAGGTGTTTAATAGAACTCACCAGTGCAGTGTCCAAGACCAATTTCTTTGGGGGAATGTTTTCAATTCTGCTATGTATTATTATCTTATTATTATTATTTTTTTGAGACAGAGTCTGTCTCTGTTGCCTGGGCTGGAGTGCTGTGACGTCACCCTAGCTCACAGCAACCTCAAACTCCTGGGCTCAAGCAATCCTGCTGCCTCAGCCTCCCGAGTAGCTGTTACTACAGGCATGCGCCCCCATGCCTGGCTAATTTTTTCTGTATATATTTTTAGTACTCCAGCTAATTTCTTTCTATTTTTTTTTTTTTTTTAGTAGAGACGGGTCTCGCTCTTGCTCTGGCTGGTTTAGAACTCCTGACCTTGAGCAATCCGCCCACCTCGGCCTCCCGGAGTGCTAGGATTACACACCTGGCCCTTATTATCTTTTTAATGCTTATGGTTTCTGCATATTCCCTTTTGGGTGTTCTTTTGTTCTGGATATTTCTTCTTTTGCTCCTAGTATTGGTAATTTGTGTTTTTTCTCTTTTTTTTCCCCTCTTCTTGGTCATTGTACCCAGGGATTTAGTAATATAATTAAATCATTTTAAAGAGCCACTTGTAGCTTTGATTATATCCATTGTGTATCTGTTCTTTTATTGATTTCTGCTTGTATCCTTATAATTTCCTTTCTTCTGTTCACTTTGTGTTTATGTTTTATCTTTGTAAGGTGACAACTTCGGTTATTAATTTTATGCCCTTCTAGTTCCCAATAGAAATATTTAGAGCTATACATTTCTTCTAACACTGCTTTAATTAACTCCCATGAATTTTTATATATTGTACGAAATATTTTCTAGTTTCTGTTGTGATTTCTTCTTTGACCCTTGGGATATTTGGAAGTATATTGCTTAGTTCTCAAATATTTGGGGATATTCTACATATCTTTCTTGTTATTGATGTCTTTGGTTTTTTTGGTTTTTTTCTTTTTGATAAAGATCGAGTCTCCCTATAATGCCTGGCCTCCAGGGATCCTCCTACCTCAGCTTCCCAAAGTGCTGGGATTACAAGCTTGAGCAGGAGTCCTCAAACTTTTTAAACAGGGGACCCAGTTCACTCTCCCTCAGACTGTTGGAGAGTGCGCACTGTGGGCCTGGGACTAGTTGCCTGTTAAGCAGGACAGGCAGCAGCGGCAAAAACACCGGGTGGGCCAGAGAAATGTCCTAGGCAGGCGGCATGTGGCCTGAGGGCCGTAGTTTGAGGATCTTTGCCGTTTGAGGATCTTTGCCGTAAGATATGTCCAAGTCTTAACCCTGCTACCAGTGAATCTGACCTTATTTGGAAATAGGGACTTTGCAGATATTATTAATTGAAGTTCTTGATGGAATCATCTGGATTTAGCAAGGTGGACCCTAAATGCAATGACTGGTGGTAACCTTAAAGAGAGGGGGAGAGAGATTGGACATGAAATACGGCCATGTGAAGGTGAAGGTAGAAATTATAGAGTTATGCTGCCGAAAGCCAGGAAAGCTAGGAGCCACCATAAGCTGGAAGAGTAAAGATTCTCCCTTAGAATCTTCAGAAAGGAGCGTGGCTCTGCTGACACTTTGGAATCTATCCTCCAGAACTGTGAGAATAAATTTCTGTTTTAAGCCTCTCATTTTGTGGTAATTTGTTGCAGTTGCTCTAGGAAACTAATACTGTACATGTTCTAACTTCACTTTCCTTCCTTCTATCTTTGAGAGTTTCGTGTTCTCAGAACCAAACTTGACAACCAGAGGATAAGGGAATCTATTTAGAGGAGCCACACAGGTCACCTCCAGCAGTAGAACAGGGTGGGGAAGGTTAAGAACTGAGTCTAGGTGGGGAGTAGATGACACATGGGAGCTATCAGACACAGAGATAGAACCAGTGGGGTTCATTAGTATATTGGATGTGTGTGTTTGTGTGGGGGTGTTGGTTGAAGACAAGGAAATGTGGCAAAGATCCAGCAACTGAATAGATGTGATGCTGTTTCCTGACTTGGGGAAGACTGGAGAAGTTCAATTTTGTACAAGGTGAATTTGAAGTATTTGTGACACAGTTAAGTAGATATGTTAGGAAGGCAACTGGATATCTAAGACTATGGCTTAAAGAGAGATCTGACCTAGAGATGCTAATCTGGGATTCATTGGCTTTATAGATAGTATAATATATATGCATGTATGTATTTATGAGACAGGGTCTGGATCTGATGTCTGGGCTAGAGGACAGTGGAGTGATCATAGCTCACTACAACCTCAGACTCCTGGCCTCAGGCAATCCTGCCTTTGAGGGGGTGATTGTAGTGACTTGAAAGAGATGTGGGGGCATCAGTGAACTGTTGCATATTGAAGCCTCTGAGAAAGATAGCTATCTCTCTGGCTTATCATTTTCTCTTCATGTCTAATACAGTGCTGTGCCTTTCAAATATTTGTTGAATGATAACCATTCTATGTTGGAGGAGAAAGGGACTACAGATGCTCCTCAACTTATGGAGTGCATCCTAATAAACCCATCATAAGTTTAAAATACCATGTGAAAATTGCAGTTAATACTCTTAACCTACAGAACATCATGGCTTAGCCTAGCCTGCCTTAAATATGCTGAGAACACTTATATTAGCCTACAGCTGGGCAAAATCATGTAACACAAAGCTTATTTTATAATAAAGTGTTAAATGTCTGATGTACTTTATTGAATGCTGTACTGAAAGTGAAAAACAGTGTTGGTTAACATATGCAGCTGAAAGCACACTGGGCCTGATGAATGTTTGAAGCATTGAGCTAAAAGTAGTATTGCTAGATGATGGGGATGCTACAGTGACAGGGTCAATTTCTTTTCTTTTAGCACTGGAGCACATCAACACTGTTGGTGTAGTAGGCATAGTGTTTTTCAGGAAGATACCAAGTATTAGTTTACCTTTGCAATCACATGGTTGACTGGAAGCTGTGGTTCACTGCCACTGTCATTGAAAGAGTATGATACAACATATCACTAGCCCGGGAAAAGATCAAAATTTAAAATCTAAAGTATGGTTTCTACTGAATGTGTATCACTTTCACACTTATAAATAAGATGGTTTCATTACATATAAATTATTATTATTATTTTGAGACAAAGTTATGCTATGCAGTGGGGTCATCATAGGCTCACTGCAACCTCAAACTCCTGGGCTCAAGCGATCTTCCTGCACCAGCCTCCCAAGTAGCTGGGACTGAGGTGTGCACCACCATTCCTGGCTAATTTTTTTCTATTTTTAGTAAAGACAGGGCCTCGTTCTTGCTCAGACTGGTCTTGAACTCCTGAGTACAAGTGATCCTCCCACCATGGCCTCCCAGAGTGTAGGATTTATAGGTGTGAGCCACTGCATCTGGCCTCATTACATATAAATTATTATTAAAGAGAATGTATCTTCAGATATCCTTATCAAGTAGGATATTTGTGGCATAATCAATTATATGTTGAATTTTTGCAGATATATTCTAACAGAGTTTGGGGTTTGTTTGCTAGGAGGAGGCATCTCCCTACTCTTTGGTCAACATCTGCCTGAATGCCCTGATTGCTAACCTGGAGAAATTGTGTTCTGAAAGACCTGATGGAACATTGTGCCTTCCGGAGCATTGGAGTTTCCCTCAGGAAGTAGCTGATCGGTTCCTTGGGGTGATGACTTGGCAAGGTAATGATAAGGCTCCTCTATAGTCTACACTGTCTCTTTTTTTTTTTTTTTTTAAAGACAGGGTCTGGCTTTGTTGCCCAGGCTGGAGTGCAGTGGCATGACATAGCTCTCTGCAACCTTAAACTCCTAGCCTCAACCCTCCTCCTGCCTCAGCCTCCCAAGTAGCTGGGACTACAGGTACACACCACCACACCCAGGTAATTCTTCTTTTCTTTTCTTTTTTTTTTTTGTAGAGATGGGGTCTCGCTTTTGCTAAGGCTGGTCTCAAACTCCTGGCCTAAAGTGATCCTCCCACCTATAGTGCTAGGATTATAGGCATGAACCCCTGCACCCAGCCTACAATGTATTCACAGCATTTTACTACTCAAAAAGCACTTTCATATACAATTTCCTGTTTTGATTCTCAAAATTCTTCCCATTTCATGTGTGGAAGTTGAGTCTCAGTCTTTCTGAGATCTTGTAGTGGAAATTGTCTTGCTTCTAGGCTGGTCCTGCTATTGACTTAGTAGGTGAAGAAATTGGAAAACTAAGTTGGTTATCTATCACTCATCCATCTGTTCTCTCTAGCTTTCAAAAGGCTGTTGCTGTGTTCTTGTCTCCCATTCTTTACATTATGGATATGAGCCTTTAAGGATTTCCTTGACCTCTCATCATAGTGGGATTTAAGAACCTCACTAGAAGAAAGAAAGAAGAAAAATGTTATGTTTAATTTGCCTTCTTACAGTTTTTTTTTAATGAAAAAATATTTTTGGTAATAACTTTATTGAGATATAATTGACATAGCATACAAGTCACCCATTTAAAGTGTGCAGTTCATGCTGGGCACAATGGCTCACACCTGTAATCCTAGCACTCTGAGAGGATAACGCAGGAGGATCGCTCAAGGTCAGGAGTTAAAAATCAGCCTGTGCAAGAGAGACCCCGTCTCTACTAAAAATAGAAAGAAATTAATTGGCCAACTAAAAATATATAGAAAAAATTAGCCAGGCATGGTGGCGCATGCCTGTAGTCCCAGCTACTTGAGAGGCTGAGGCAGGAGGATTGCTTGAGCCCAGAGTTTGAGGTTGCTGTGAGCTAGGCTGATGCCATGGCACTGTAGCTCGGACAACAGAGTGAGACTCTGACTCAAAAAAAAAACAAAAACGTGCAATTAGGTGATTTTTGGTATATTCACAGATTTGTGCAACCATGACCATAATCAGTTTTAGGACCTCAAAAATTTTATTACCTCAGAAATCTTATATCCATTAGGTATTACCTCCCTTTCCCCACATTCCCCCAGCCCTAAGCAACTGCTAATCTATAATACTTTCTATTTCTGTGAATATGCCTATTCTGAACATTTACTATAAATGGAATTATGCAATATATGGCCTTTTGTGTCTGGCTTCTCTAATTTAACATAATGTTGGTTTTGTTTTTGAATTTTTCCTGCTCAGAACATAACATAATGGGTTTTTTTGTGTGTGTGTGTGAGATAATCTCGCTCTACTAGCATTCTACCTGGGCTAGAATGCTGTGGCGTCAGCCTAGCTCACAGCAACCTCAAACTCCTGGGCTCAAGCAATCCTCCTGCCTCAGCCTCCCGAGTAGCTGGGACTACAGGAACACACCACCACGCCCGGCTAATTTTTTCCTATTTTTGGTTGCCCAGCTAATTTTTTCTTTTTCTTTTTCTTTCTTTCTTTTTTTTTTTTTTAGTAGAGATGGGGTCTTGCTCTTGCTCAGGCTGGTCTAGAACTCCTGAGCTCAAGAAGTTCCTGACCTCCCAAGAGTGCTAAGATTACAGGCATGAGCCACTGTGCCCAGCCTAACATCATATTTTTAAAGTTAACCTATGTCCCATGTTGTAGCATGTATCATTCATTTGTTGTTTTTTTTGGAGGCAGGGTCTTGCTCTGTCATCTGAGCCCTGGAGTGCAGTGCAGTCACAGTTTGCTGTAGCCTTGATCTCCTCTGCTTAAGTGATCCTTCTGCCTTAGCCTTCTGATTAGCTAAGACTTCAGCCACATGCCACCATACTTGGCCAATTTTTATTTTTATTTTTTGTACAGATGGGATCTTGCTTTGTTGCCCAGGCTCATCTTAAATTCCTGGTCTCAATCGATCCTATTGCCTTGGCCTCCCAAAGTGCTGGGATTATAGGTGTGAGACACCATGCCCTGCTACTTACGCTTTTTTGTTTCTGTGCGGTACCAATCCTCTCTACCATTTGCTTTAGTTTTAGTGCTTATATTATAGAAAGGTTCATGTCATAACAAAGTTAAAAGCAGTTCTGAGTGGATCTATTATTTGGTTAAAGTGCCTGACTTGTAAAAGCAGTTCTGAGTGATCAGAACCCTCCTGCTGGCCATGTGCATGGTGGCTCACGCCTGTAATCCTAGCACTCTGGGAGGCCTAGATGGGTGGATTGCTCGAGGTCAGGAGTTCAAAACCAGCTTGAGCAAGAGCGAGACCCTGTCTCTACTATAAATAGAAAGAAACTAATTGGCCAACTAATATATATAGAAAAAATTAGCTGGGCATGGTGGTGCATGCCTGTAGTCCCAGCTATTGGGGAGGCTGAGGCAGCAGGATCGCTGGAGCCTGGGCAACAAAGCGAGACTCTGTCTCAAAAAAAAAACAAACAAAAAACCCTCCTGTCAGATATTTGGTGTCAGTTTGTTTTTTTGGCATTGCTGCTTCTGTCGTCTTCCTCATTATCTGGCACTGGCTCAGAATCACTCATCTCCATCAAGTCATCTTGTCTTAATTCCTCTGGTGTGGTGTCTATTAGCTCTTGAATTTCTCTAAGATCCATATCTTGAAAACCTTCACCATTTTTTTTTATTCAGTATCCACAATCTCTTTCATTGTGGATGAAAGTTTCCTTGATTTGCTTTGTCATAAGTCCTGTGAAGTCATGCACATTTGGATGCAGTTTCAGGATTGATGGCTTTCATGGCTTTTTCTATAATAGCAATGGGTTCTTAAGTGGTGTAATTCTTCTAGACTTTCCTGATGTTCTCTCTGAGTTCTCTTCAGTAGTGTTGACTATCATTTCTGTAGAATACTGTGTATAATGATTTTTAAAGGTCCTAATGACTCTCTCATCTAGAGCCTGAATCAGAGATGCTGTGTTTGTAGGCAGTAGGCATCTTTGACATCTTCAGTATTAAAGATGTGAGGTTCTTGGTAGGCAGGGGCATTGTCCAATTACAAAAGAACTCTAAAAAGCACTCCCTTATTGGCAAGGTACTTCTTGACTTCAGGAATAAAGTATCAGTGGACTCAATCTGGAAGAAGTGTTCTTGTTTTCCAGGCATTCTTGTTGTGTAACCAAAAGACTGGCAGCTAGTGTTTATCTTTTCCCTTCAAAGCTGTTAGCAGCTTTATAGTCAAGGGCAGTCCTAATCATAAACCCGACTGCATTTGCGTGAAACAGCAGAATTATCCTATCTCTTCCTACCTTAAATCCTGGTACTCATTTCTGTTTCTTTTTTTTTTGAGACAGAGTCTCGCTTTGTTGCCCAGGATAGAGTGAGTGCCGTGGCATCAGCCTAGCTCACAGCAACCTCAAACTCCTGGGCTCAAGCAATCCTACTGCCTCAGCCTCCCAAGTAGCTGAGATTACAGGCATGCACCATCACAGCCGGCTATCAATTAGTTGGCCAATTAATTTCTTTCTATTTATTGTAGAGACGGGGTCTCGCTCTTGCTCAGGCTGGTTTCGAACTCCTGACCTAGAACAATCCGCCCACCTTGGCCTCCCAGAGTGCTAGGATTACAGGCATGAGCCACCCCGCCTGGCCTGTAATGTCATGATTTTTCTCTGATGCTTGGGAACACTTCAGCATCACTAGTGCCACTTCATGTGGGTCTAGATCCTATGGTGTTATTCAGGGTTTGTGGTATTACATACACTAAACATGATGAAAAATATGAGAGAGCACATTTTACTGCAACATGCAACTAACTGAAGAGATAACTGCCCACCTGGAGATGATTAGCATCAGATGACTTTTCAGTGGTTACTCCCAACACTGGAGCTCACTGAAATAGCACTAGGAGGTAGCTATGAAATTATTATAGAAACACAGTGGATGCTACAGTTAATCAGTTAATTGTGTGCCATTATGATTTTTTTTTTTTTTTTTTTTGAGATAGAGTCTCACTTTGTTGCCCAGGCTAGAGTGAGTGCTGTGGCATCAGCCTAGCTCACAGCAACCTCAAACTCCTGGGCTCAAGCCATCCTCCCACCTCAGACTCCCGAGTAACTGGGACTACAGGCATGTGTCACCATGCCCAGCTAATTTTTTAATATATATATATATATTAGTTGGCCAATTAATTTCTTTCTATTTTTAGTGGAGATGGGGTCTCCGCTCAGGCTGGTCTTGAACTCCTGACATCGAGCAATCCGCTGGCCTTGGCCTCCCAGAGAGCTAGGATTACAGGTGTGAGCCACCTCGCCTGGCCTCCCAGTTATGATTTAATACTGCATCTTTATGTTTCTTTTTGTTTATCTTGACTACAAATGGTGCTGTGTTTGGTCTGTGTTTGTATGTTTCAGTAAATTTTCATTTTTTTTTTTTTTTTTTTTTGAGACATTGTCTCACTCTGTTGCCCAGGCTAGAGGGCTGTGGTGTCAGCCTAGCTCATAGCAACCTCAGACTCCTGGGCTCAAGTGATCCTGCCTCAGCCTCCCTAGTAGCTGGGACTACAGGCATCCAACACCATGCCCAGCTAATTTTTTCTATATATTTTTAGTTGTCCAGATAAATTCTTTCTATTTTTTTTTTTTAAAGATTTCATGTCTAAGCTTATATTTTTTTTATATAACTTTTTATTGAAAAAATCTTGCATTCATAATGGATATTTTCTGGATTTTGCCACATATTTTAATATTAAAGGTTACTTTTTTTACATGCAGTAGTGTGTTATTTCCCCACATAGGAACAATGATAAAAAGATGACATACCACATGGGTTGAATGTCGTTTTTAATTGAAAAGCTAACAAACTGTCCAGTTACATTTCTACAAAAGAAAACCATAAGCTGGGTAGGTAACTAGGACTCTAAGTAATATATTCAAAGCTAAGAGAATTAAAAATAAAAAAAAAGCGAGTCCTCAGATTCAATTAATGGAGCCCTGCTACTTGGAGGCTAATCAATACCAGTGGTATTCCTTGACTCTAGAAGTCTGGAAGGCGTCCTAATAACCCTACTCAGAACGTTTCCTTCAAGTAGCCTTACTCCAGGTTCCAACTCATGCATTAAGATAGTATTTTCTTAATTCTATTTCAGAAAATTCTTTGCAAGTTATTTTATGTACAATGCCAACTTTTAAAAGGTCACTAAAGTTAACTGGACAATAAACTAGGCAGAAATCACTTTACAAAAAAAGAGGGAAAGCCCAAAATGCCACTTTCTATATAGAGAACCCACAGTTCAGTTTTATTCAGAGCAAAAAGAAACTTTCGATCATACTAGAAGAAAGTCAACCATAGGTTTGGAATCTGTACTCAAACTACACATGCGATGAGGACAATATTCTGGCTAATACAATGGATTTGCTGCTGCATTTGTCTACTGTTTGTCTAATATTAACAATTATAAACAGAGCAGTGCAACTAGTATTTGAAACAATCCTTACAGTGTTACAGTGTCAGGCACAACATTTCACTTCTCTTTACACCACTGGTTCTCTTTGGGTACCTGGGCTTCCTCCTCTTCAATAAAGTCATTTTTTTTTTTTTTGCTATTGATTCAACCTAAGAAATAAAGTCATTTTTGATATTGAAGGTCTTATGAATCTCCTCAGGAGTTTTCCCCTTGATCATATTAGCAACAGTCTTGCACATAACATCAAGCAAACCTTTGATGTCTAAGTAGTTTGCAGCCAGAATAAGTTCAAAAAGTGTTCCTTGGTCAACTTTCAGAAATTCTTGGTCCCAAACAGGGATATCATCTGTTCGCTTTTCTTTGTTCTCATCATCCTGAGGAGGAGGAGGATCATCCTTGTGGTGGGTGCACCACTGAATGACTTTTTAATATTGCTGCATTAACATTTGGTAGAGGAACTGGGTCATCATCTCCTTCATCATCCATTCCCAAATCTTACAACATGGTCTTGATAGTCACAGACTGTTTGGCAATTTCCACATCAACTTTAAATATATCTTCATCAGAACTCTGCAACTTAATTGAAGGCATGGTGTTCGGTCTCAAAGCACTGACGGCCGGAGGCTGACCAGAGCCGGGCGGCATCTGCACGAGAAGAGGTGGAGGACAAGGCCACTACTCTTTCTATTGTTAGTAGACACGGAGTCTCACTCTTGCTCAGGTTGGTCTTGAACTCCTGACCTTGAACAATCCTCCTGCCTCGGCCTCTCAGAGTGCTAGGATTACAGCTGTGAGCCACCATGCCTGGCCAGATTTTAACTTTTTATAATAGATTTGAGTATACTTTATGGTAGTAAATGACAGAATAGACTAGTATCTGTGTATTTTATGAATTCATGACATATATTTTTCTTAACTTTTTCGGTATTTGTAGGCTATGTGGTTTGCCTGTTAGTTTTTCAAATTGTTGCAAATCTCCAAAAGATTTTCCAATATATTTATTGAAAAAAAATTCTTGTATAAGTGGACCTACACAGTTCAAAACCATGTTGTTCAAATGCCAGCTGTATATGTGGGTATATGTATCTGTGTGTGTGTTAAAGAAACCGGTCATTTGTAAAGTTTTTCAGAATCTAGATTTTGCCATTGTTTAACTGTACTGTGATTTTAACATGTTTTTCTCTTCCTTGTATTTCCTGTCAGTTGGATGATAGAGGTAGATGTTTGATCAAATTTGGGTTCAGGGTTTTTTTTGTGTGTTTTTGCTTGGTTTTGTTTTTGTTGCTGCCCTGTGCTTCTAAACTGTCTGGTGGTTTTTTTTTTTTTTTTTCTGGCATGTTGTGGGGGTACAGATTTTAAGGTTTCAATAAATGCCCATTCCTCCCCTCCCCCCACAAGTCTGAGTTTCCAGCATGACCATCCCCCAGATGGTGCACATCTCACTCATTATGTATATATATACCTGCGCCCCTCCCACCTACCCAATACCCTATTACTGTAGTACCTATGTGTCCACTTAGGTGCTGCTCAGTTAATACCAGTTTGCTGGTGAGTATATGTGGTGCTTGTTTTTCCATTCTTGGGATACTTCACTTAGTAGTATGGGTTCCAGCTCTAACCAGGAAAATATAAGATGTGCTATATCACCGTTGTTTCTTAGAGCTGAATAGTACTCCATGGTGTGCATATACCACATTTTATTAATCCATTCTTGGATTGATGGGCACCCACAGCCTTGCAATTATGAATTGTGCTGCTATAAACATTCGAGTGCAGGTGTCTTTTTTGTAGAGTGTCATTGGATATTTTGGGTAGATGCCCAGCAATGGGATTGCTGGATCAAATGATAGATTCACTTGTATCGCTTTAAGGTATCTCCATATTGCTTTCCACAGAGGTTGAACTAGTTTGTACTCCCACCAGTAGTGTAGGAGTGTTCCTCTCTCTCCGCATCCACGCCAGCATTTACTGTTTGGAGACTTTTTGATAAAGGCCATTCTCACTGGAGTTAAGTGATATCTCATTGTGGTTTTGATTTGCATTTCCCTGATGATTAGAGATGTTGAGCATTTTTTCATACGTTTGTTGGCCATTCTTCTGTCGTCTTTAGAAAAGTTTCTGTTCAAGTCCTTTGCCCACTTTTTAATAGGGTTGTTTGATTTTTTTCTGGTTGCTTTTTGTGATTGTGATGGCCACAGATGGATGATCATTGCCTAGATCCATTAAATTATCAGTTCTTGTAGGTTTGATTTATAGTGTTCATTACTCTCCTTGACCTTTCTGGCTTAGAATTGTTTTTCTGTTTTTCTTATATTCTTGGTTTACTCTTCCATAATTTCCTTCTGTTTTTCTGCCTGTGCCTTAAACATTTTCTCTTCCTTAGGTTTTGTGTTGGATACTCTTCTCACTCTGCACATTGCCTGTGTGATTTTCCTTAGTTTAGTTAACCTATTCTACTCTGATCCCCAGAGATCCCAGCTCAGACCTTTATTCCAAGCTCCTGAATCATGTATCCTAATGCTTTCTTGGTGTCCTGTACTCTTCTCTGGGCTGCTAATACATCATATTCTTCTGGTTTTCTTCCTACCTCAGTGAATGCTGCTTGTCTTTTTATTCAGGTTCCCCTAAAAGGCAGTACAGATTAAAGGTTAAGAGCTCTGGCTCTGAATCCAAACTACCTGGGTTTGCACACTTTTTTGACTATTTATTAGGTAGGTTTTCTTAGGCCATTAACTTTACATGCCTCATCTCATCTATAGAATGAGACTAATACTGGCTTTTATAGCAGTGTAGAGAATTAATATATCCAAAGTACTTAGAAAGTTAAGTTAATTTTTATCATAGTTATCTTTCTCCTACTATCTGACCTTAAATGATGTTGCTCTCAATACTTGGTCCTTATTCCTTCTCTTCTCTTCATACATTCCCATGTTCTTCATCCCCCATGGTTTTAAATATTGTCTTTATGCTGACTAAATGTTTATGTTCTGATCTTACAGATTTGAAATGTGTGGAATCTAGATGATCTTGTGGAGAGTCCCAATGATAGAATGCCTATTGAGTCCTATCTTGAGTTGGGGTGTGAGAACTGGGCCCTTTATACCTCTTCACTTCAATCTTTGGATGTCAGTCTCTGTGGGAAGGGAGTGTAATCTTGCTGGGACAACTCTTCTTCAGCTAGGCAGTCCCCATAGGTGAGAACTGTCAACTGGTGGCACTCCCAGCAGCTAAAGTAGTAAGTCCTTCATTCCTAAGGGGGATGTAGATGGCACATAACAGTGTCCACTACACGCCTACCATTTCCCTCATCTCTGTAATGGGTTGGCCATGTACCTAGCGAATCCTTATTTTAGGATTCATTTTTGATTCATCCTCCTCTTCCTTCCCTCAGGTCTGTTGAAACATTTTTTGCCTTCAGAATACATATCTCAAGCTTTTCTTTTCCTCCTAACCCCTGTCACATTAACACTGTTCTGTTACATGTCCATTGACCTCCCAAGTGGTCTTCTCACCTTTGCTTTTGCTTCTTGCGCAGCGCTGCTACACAGCAGAGAGCAATCCTATTAAACCTTGTATGATCTTTCCACTCCTGTGTCACTTATTAAAGGCTTTCCGTTTTACTGGGTTCTCAACCTTTTTGGCACCAGGGACCAGTTTCGTGGAAGACAATTTTTTCACGGACTGGGGGGGGTGGTGGTTTTGGGATGATTCAAGTGCATTACATTTATTGTGCAGTAAAACTTCTCTGCTAATGATAATCTGTATTTGCAGCAGCTCCCTGGTGATAGCATCCTTCACTGCTTCAGCTCCACCTCAGATCATCAGGCATTAGATTCTCATAAGGAGAACCCAACCTAGATCCCTCACTCATGTGGTTTATAGTAGGGTTTGTGTTCCTATGAGAATCTAATGCTGCCACCGATCTGATGGGAGGTGGAGCTTATGTGGTAATGTGATGGGGAGCAGCTGTAAATATAAATGAAGCTTCATTTGCTAGGTAGGGGTCCTGCTAGGTTCCCAGGCTGGGGGTTGGGCACTATAGCACTAAGATTACAATGCCAACTTATGCAGGATCTGACTCCTGCCCTTGTCTCTATCATGTCAGATGCTGGTTTTCCCTTCACCAGTTGTGCTTTTTAGCCACACTGTTTTTTTTTTCACAGAAAAAGCCAAGCTGTTTTCCACATCAGGGATTTAGTTCTGATAAAGGTAAAAGTTTGAATTTCTTAGATTTTTTTATACAGGACTTTTACCATCCTCCTCACTCTCTTTCTCAGCTATGCCTCCCCTTGCACACTGTGTTTGTAGTAGTGCTGATCTGCTTAAGATCGTTAATACCAGGCACATATCACTACTGCATGTACCATGCTATTGTACTTATTTATTTACCTGGTGTGCCTTCCTCTACTAAATGCCGTATGGTCATAGGTGTCTAATTACCCTGTGGGCCATTACTTAACGTGGGATCTCACATAGAAGATACTTACGAAATTTTTGCTAAATGAAATCTAGTACAACCTATTCATTTTACAGATGAGGAAAATGAGGCCCAGAGAAGTGAGTGACTTGTGAAAGATCAACCACTAATTTGGTTAAAGTAATGATTAGTAGTGTTTTTGGCATATTGTGTATCCTGTACTTATCTAATTTATTTGTTTGTTTATTTGAGACACAGAGTCTCACTGTGTTGCCTGGGCTAGAGTGCTGTGGCATCAGCCTAGCTCACAGCAACCTTAAACTTCTGGGGTCAAGTGATCCTCCTGCCTCAGCCTCCTGAGTAGGTGGGACTACAGGCACGTGCCACCATGCCTGGCTAATTATTTTTCTATTTTTAGTTGTTTGCCTGATTTCTTTCCATTTGTAGTAGAGACAGGGTCTTGCTCTTGCTCAGGCTGGTCTTGAACTCCTGAGCTCAAGCAATCCTCCCAGCTCGGGTCTCCCAGAGTGCTAGGATTATAGGTGTGAGCCACTGCGCCTGGCCTATTTTATCTTTATTTTTGAGACAGAGTCTCTTGCTCTGTTGCCTGGGCTAGAGTGCTGTGGTGTCAGCCTGGCTCACAGCAACCTCAAACTCCTGGGCTCAGGCCATCCTTCTGCCTCAGCCTCCTGAATAGTTGGAACTACAGGCATGTACCACCATGCCCAGCTAATTTTTTCTATATATTTGTAGTTGGCTAATTAATTTTTCTATTTTTTAGTAAAGACGGGGTCTTGCTCTTGCTCAGGCTGTTTTCGAACTCGTAACCTCTAGGGATCCTCCCGCCTCGGCCTCCCAGAATGCTAGGATTACAGGTTTGAGCCACCGAGCCCGGCCTACCTATTTTATTTTGTTACTAGTTTCTATGATGACAAAGTTACTGTGAATAAAAAACTTTGAGCTCTGGAGTCAAACTGGGTTCAACTTCTGATTCTGCCATGAATGTTGACCTTGGGGAAGTTATTTAACCTCTTTAAGCTTCAGTTTCCTCAGCTAAATAGTAGTAGTATCAATAGTCTCTTTTATAGTATTAGTACAAAGAGTAAATGAGGCATTCTTAAAGGACAATACCTGGCATAGAGTAAGTAGTAACTGTGGTCATTATTGTTATTATTAGCATCTGTCATTGTCATTGCCACATTACATCCTGGAAAGGCATGAGTTCTAGTTGTCATTACAAGCCGGTTCTGGTTCTTTTATAGGCAAGCTGACTGACAGAACAGCAAGCATTTTCCAAGGCAACCAAATGAAATTGAAGCTGGTCAATATCCAAAAAGCTAAACTCTCTACAGCTGCATTCATAAAAGCCTTCTGCCATCATAAGCTCATTGAATTGGATGCTACTGCAGTACATTCTGACCTCCCTATCTCAGACATCATAAGTGGACTATGCAGCAATAACTGGATCCAAGAAAACCTTCAGTGTCTCCTGTTAGACTCAACAAGCATCCCTCAAGATTCAAGACTACTTTTCTTTGGTCAGCTCACTGGTCTTCGCATTTTAAGTGTTTTCAATGTTTGTTTTCATACTGAAGACTTGGCTAATGTTTCTCACTTACCAAGACTGGAAAGCTTGGATATCTCCAACACTCTGGTCACTAACATCTCTGCATTGCTTACCTGTAAGGATCGACTCAAGTCTCTAACAATGCACTATCTGAAATGCTTGACCATGTCCAAACCACAAATTCTTGCAGTCATTAGAGAACTTAAATGTCTGCTTCACCTTGATATTTCTGATCACAGGCAACTCAAATCAGACCTAGCTTTTCATTTGCTACAGCAGAAGGATATCCTGCCTAATATCGTATCACTGGATATTTCTGGGGGCAATTGCATCACTGATGGAGCTGTAGAACTGTTTATACGGCAGCGGCCTGCAATGCAATTTGTGGGACTACTGGCTACGGATGCTGGTTATTCTGACTTCTTTACTACAGAGCAAGGCTTGAGGGTTTGTGCTTATCTGAAATAAGTTTTGTTTCATTTATTTGAAACGTTATTAAGCTTTTGCTGTACACTAGAATCTGTACTAGGTACACCAAAATCCTTAGCTCATCTAATAATAATTACTGTTTATATATTATGTGGTAGGTTTTGGGAATATAATGTTAAGATTTAGTCCCAGCCACCACGTTTTCTAGTCAACTTGATAATTATTATACATTACTTCTATGTGCCAGATGCCATGCTGTACATATGCATGTTTTCTGCTTTAATCCTCCCATTTTATGGGTGAGGAAATACAAGTTCAGGAAGCTTTAGCTACTTACCCACAATCATTGAGCTGACTATTAAATGGTGGAGCCGGATCTGTACTTAAGTGTTAGATTCTAGCCCTGGTGAGGTGGCTCTCGCCTGTAATCCTAGCACGCTGGGAGGCTGAGGCGGGCGGATCCTCTGAGCTCAGGAGTTCTGAGACCAGCCTGAGCAAGAGCGAGACCCTGTCTCTACTAAAGATAGAAAGAAATTAATTTACCGACTAAAAAACATATAGAAAAAATATGGTGGTACATGCCTGTAGTTCCAGCTACTTAGGAGGCTGAGGCAAGAGGATTGCTTGAGCCCAGGAGTTTGAGGTTGCTGTGAGCTAGGCTGACACCACAGCACTCTACCAAGGGCAACAGAGTGAGACACTGTCTCAAAAAAATAAATAAATAAGAGAGAAGTGAGCATTGCTGGATTAAGTTTACAGTGTCTCATTGTGCTCCTTTTGTTTTTTTTTTTTTTTTGAGATAAGGTCTCCCTCTGTCTCCTGGGCTAGAGTGTACTGGCCTTATCATAGCTCACTGCAACCTCCAACTCCTGGGCTACCGCAGTCGTCCTGCCTCAGCATTCTGAGTAGGTGGGACTAGAGGTACGCACCATCATGCCCAGCTAACTTTTGCTATTTTCAGTAGAGATGGGGTCTTGTTCAGGCTGGTCTCAAACTCACCTCAAGCAATCCTCCAGCTTTGGCCTCCCACAGTGCTAGATTATGGGTGGGAGCCACAGCGCCCAGTCTCATAGTGCTACCTTTAAATATATATTTAAATATGTATGGTCAGGAATATTTCATTTTTTAAAAAAACAGTCATTCTTTTCCTTGGTGTTGTACATTGTAATCACTCTGAAAGCTTAAAAATACACTGATAATCTATGTCCTATCCCTCAAAGATTTTGATTTAATTGGTTTGGGACATGGTTTGAGCATCAGAATTTTGGAAGCTCCCAGGTAATTCTAATGTGCTGCCAAGGTTCAGAGTCATTGCTTTAAAAGAACCATTTCTTCATAATCATGTCTCCTGTACTGTGTTTCCCTGAAAGTAAGACCCATAAAATAAGCTCTAGCAGGATTTCTAAGCATTTGTGCAATATAAGCCCTACCCCGAAAATAAGACCTAGTGATGGGCGTGGCTATGCAGCGTATCTGCATCTGCACAACCCATGAATTTTGTCACGGAGTGGTAAAGAAGATGAGCAGCCCTTCTCATCTGCCCCATGAGAGCTCTATTGCCCGACATGAGAGACTGGGGCCAATGGTTCTAAAGGAAATAGAGTCACAAGAAATTCAGGATGGAATTTGGGGTTTGGAGAGTTATGATGATGTTCCAGAAGAAGACAACTTAACTGTATTTGAATAAATGTAGATTGTTGTGCCGTACTTAAAAAACAACACATCCCCTTAAAATAAGCCTATAAGACCCAGTATTATTTTGGGGGAAACATGGTAGTTCTTCCTAGGGGCAGAAGATGAAGTGATTTGTAGAGTCATTAATTGTGTTCATACGTTACTCTTTCGATTTGAAAGTAGCAATTGTTCGTATCGTAAAGTACTTTAATTTTCTGGCATTTCTAACAAGGATGGAAGCCATCAATTACATCCTTGAAGTAGAGATATAAACTGAACTTTTAGATTATTATGTATAATAGAGAGTTGTTTTCCAGGAATGTACAATTAGCCTTATTTCAGATTAATAGCATTTAATGGGCCAGGTGCGGTGGCTCACACCTGTAATCCTGGCACTGTGGGAGGCCGAGGTGGGCGGATTGCTTGAGGTCATGAGTTCGAAACCAGCCTGAGCAAGAGTGAGACCCCATCTCTACTATAAATAGAAAGAAATTAATTGCCCAACTAATATATATAGAAAAAATTAGCCGGGTATGGTGGTGCATACCTGTAGTCCCAGCTACTTGGGAGGCTGAGACAGAAGGATCGCTTGAGTCCAGGAGATTGAGGTTGCTGTGAGCTAGGCTGACGCCACGGCACTCACTCTAGCCTGGGCAACAAAGCGAGACTCTGTCTCAAAAAAAAAAAAAAAAAAAAGAAAATGAGAGACGTTTTGTTTCAGTAAACTTATCTGGTGTATAAGTTTATATCATTTTGAAATTTAAAATTATGCATCATATATAGTGTTAGATATTATGGGGAAAGGGGAAACCACTATCTTCCCAATACTAAGAACCTCTAAAGATCTTCATCCAGCCTAATGTGGAGTGTAAGATATGGTAAATTTAAAAGGCGTGTTTTATAAAAGCTTTTATTTAATGTAAGTATGTATGTCTCTTTCAAATCAGATGCAAAATATACTAAGTATTTTTGTTGTTTGAGTTGACCAAAAAATTTGCTTACATGAAGATGGATAAAGTAGGCTGGGCAAGGTGGCTCACAACTGTAATCCTAGCACTCTGGGAGGCTGAAATGGGAGGATTGCTTAAGGTCAGGAGTTCGAGACCAGCCTGAGCAAGAGTGAGACCCCATCTCTACTAAAAATAGAAAATTACAAGGTGTTGTGGCTTGTGCCTATAGTCCTAGCTAATTGAGGCTGAAGCAGGAGGATCACTTGAGCCCAGGAGTGTGATGTTGCACTGAGATATGATGACACCACTGCACTCTACCTGGGGTGACAGAGCAAGATGAGACTCTGTCTTAAAATAAAAGGATTAGTGAAAACCTTGAAACAAAAATGACATGTTATTTATCGCACCCAAAATAAGAATGGGCAATATAGACTTTAAAATTGGTGGAAAGGAGGGATTCAATAAGTAATAAGAATGTGAGGCATTCTCATTTGCTAGGAAATCCTTGTTCATCCTTTGGTGGAATATAGCAAGAATCCCTCCTCATGAGGGTTGTTTAGTAGTGGCATTTATTTGTGGGAAGCTAAAGAGAGAGAGAGTTGATGCAGAAGCTAGCTGGTCGTCTTGTTAATATTGCTGTGACTCATCCCATTAGTTTTGTGTTGTTTTGTTTTATTTTATTTTAATTAATTTATTTTTAGCGTGTTATGGGGGTACAAGTGTTAAGGTTACTTATATTGTCCATGCCCCCCTCCCCCCTCGAGTAAGACCTTCAAGCATGTCCATCCCCCAAACGTTGCACATCTTACTTGTTGTGGTTGTGTACACCCATCCCCTCCTCCCCCCTCCCACCCTCCTGATACCCGATAAATGTTACTCCTGTATGTCCACTTAGGTGTTGATCTGTTAATACCCCGTTATTAGTTTTTCTTTCAGGTCTTACACCTGGATGATCACCAGGAGTTTTAAATTTGAAAATATATTCATTGTTTGGATTCTTAATGATGTTTAGGTTCTTAGGCAATCAATCTATATATAGTACTTAAGAATTTATTTCAAAATAATTTTTAATTTTAAGATCACTAATTTTAAACATTTTATCACATTTGTTTTTATATTCTCTCTACATGAGCACATATACACTTTTTTCCTGAGCTATTTGAGAGTAGGTTGCATACATCATTGTTGCATTTGAGAGTTGCATTTGCATTGTTGCATTTGAGAGTAGGTTGCATACATCATTGCCCCCTTTATCTCCTGATACTTGAGTTTGTATTTTGTAAGAACCAGGACATTGTCCTTCATAACCACTGTAAGTTATCCTATTTTAGGAAATTTAACATTGATGCAGTACTTTTATGTAATTTACCATATATATTCTAATTTTTTTTTTAATGTTTTTTATTTTTATTTTTTTCTTGAGACAGAGTCTCACTCTGTTGCCTGGACTAGAGTGCTGTGGTGTCAGCCAAGCTCACAGCAACCTCAAACTCCTGGGCTCAGGCGATCCTTCTGCCTCAGGGTCTGAGTGGCTGGGACTACAGGCATGCCTAGCTAATTTTTTTTTCTATGTATTTTTAGTTGTCCAGCTAATTTCTTTCTATTTTTAGTAGAGATAGGGTCTTGCTCTTTGCTCAGGCTGGTCTTGAACTCCTGAGCTGAAACAATCCACCCTCCTGGGCCTCCCAGAGTGCTAGGATTATAGGCTTGAGCCACCACACCTGGCCTATATTCTAATGTTGATTGTCCCAGTAGTGCCCTTCATAAAATATTTTTCTTTTAGGTCAGGAACATATTGCATTCAGGTGTCATACATACACACACATGCATATACATACACACATATATATATTTAAAAATATATATCTTTTTATTGTTTTGGAAACAAGATCTTGCTATGTTGCCCAGGCTAGACTTGAACTCCTGAGCTCAAGCAATCCTCCCACCTCAGCCTCCCAAGTACCTGGGACTACAGGCACATACCACAGCACCCAGCTAGTTGTGTCTTTTTATAATATAATCTGGAAGAGTTTGTTAATTTTTATTTGTCTTTTTATTTATTTTTGAGACAGTCTCACTCTTGTTGCCCTGGCTAGATTGCCATGGCATCAGCCTAGCTCACAGCAACCTCAAACTCCTGGGCTCTAGCGATCCTCCTGCCTCAGCCTCCCAGGTAGCTGGGACTACAGGCATGCGCCACCATGCCCAGCTAATTTTTTGTATATATATTTTTAGTTGGTCAATTAATTTCTTTCTATTTTTGGTAGAGACAGGGTCTTGCTCAGGCTGATTTCGAACTCCTGAGCTCAAAGGATCCGCCTGCCTCAGCCTCCCAGAGTGCTAGGATTACAGGCGTGACCCACGGCGCCTGGCCTTATTTGTCCTTTTGTGGCATTGATATTTTTTGAAGAATACATATCAACTTTGTTGTCTTTTTTGGAAGAATATTCCTCCTATTTGGTTTGTCCCGTGTTTTCTTGTAATTAGATTCAGGTTCTTCATACCTGTCTGGAATAACATATAAGGAATGTTAGGTCCTTATCCAGGGTATCACATCAAGAGGCACACAACACCCCTCATTAGTCGTATTAGTTTTAATCATATAGTCAAAGTATTGTCCAGTTTCTCTACTATAAGGATAATATTTTCCCTCTTGCAACATTGTAACATTGTTACATTATAAACAATGTATAAGTTATATAAGATACTTGAAGAGTATGCAAGTAATCTTGCTTCTGATCAAACTTTTGGATACACATTTAGCATCCATTGATGATTCTTGCCGTAAGGAGTCTTTATTGTGATAGTTGTAAAGTAATTGTCTCCCTCTGACTCCAGTACTCCCTTCTACCTTTATCAGTAGGCATTCTACCACCCTCTCCATCTATCTGCTTAAACTGTCCTCAGTATGGACTCAATTGGTTCATGTTTTTTTGTGTTTTTTTTTGAGACATAGTCTCACTTTGTTGCCCAGGCTAGAGTGAGTCTCATGGCGTCAGTTTAGCTCACAGCAACCTCAAACTAACTCCTGGGCTCAAGCAATCCTCCTGTCTCAGCCTCCCAAGTAGCTGGGACTACAGGCATGGGCCACCATGCCCGGCTAATTTTTTCTATATATATTAGTTGGCCAATTAATTTCCTTCTATTTATAGTAGAGACGAGGTCTCGCTCTTGGTCAGGTTGGTTTCGAACTCCTGAACTCAAGTGATCCGCCCGCCTGGGCCTCCCAGAGCGCTACGATTACCGGGGTGAGCCACTGCGCTCGGCTGGTTCATGTTGTTTTTAATGGCTTATAATTCGTTACTGTCCTGAATTATTTTTGTAGTCAAATTGTCACAGATTGGCCAATGAGAGCTCTATGCAAATTGTCTCCTTTGATATTTTTTACTTACTGTTAGTACTTCCTTACTTTCTGGCACTGTAAAATGTTCTAGGCTTTCTTATCTTTCCTGCCTCAGCCCTAGAATCACACGTTTCTTCCAGGAACCCTTATTCCTTTTTGTGGGAAACCAAGATCTGAGTACCAGGTAGGCTCATTTGCTATTGGGGGTATCTTTGTTTCTAAGGCCCTTCAAAAAAATAATAAATAAAAGTAGGAAATTAATATATAAGAAATAAGTTTAAAGGTATACCTCTAAATGTCCATCCTCACACCATTTTCTTTGTCCTTCCCTGTCCTGTATTTGCATTTCCCCTCTTCCACAGTGAGAACTTTGGTCCCCAGCAACATCAGCACATTTATTAATCATACAACACGTGTATATAGTTTCAGAATTGCTATACCTATACTATTATTAGATGGAAAACATACTATTATGAGAATGGAAGATTACAAGTTTTTTTTCTCTTTCTAGACCAAAGGTATAGTAAAAGTACTAATCAGATATGTTTTCTCATTTCCTCTTATCTCATAAAAAGCAGCATGGTATGTATAGTCTTTTGTACTTTGCTTTTTTTTACTTAATAATATATCCTGGAAATCACTCCATGTAAGTTCATATTCCCATTCTTTTATTTTTGTGAAACAAAGTCTCACTCTTGCCTGGGCTGGAGTGCTGTGGTGTCAGCCTGGGCTCAAGCAATCCTGCTGCCTCAGCCTCCTGAGTAACTGGGACTACAGGCATGTGCCACCATGCCCGGCTGATTTTTTTGTATATATTCTTAGTTGGCCAATTAATTTCTTTCTATTTTTAGTAGAGACGGGGTCTCGCTCTTCTGTAGGTTGGTTTCAAACTCCTGACCTTGAGCAATCCACCGGCCTCAGTCTCCGTAGAAAGTTTTTTTTGGATAGTAGTTTTAAATATCAGTTCATTTCCCCCCAGGAACTTCAATGTATATATTTTGTATCTTCTTTGTCTTTCTTCCATTTTGACACTCAACTCTTTGTCTCAAAAAAAAAAAAAAAAGTCTCTGCTGCCTGGGTTAGAGTGCCGTGGCATCAGCCTAGCTCACAGGAACCTCAAACTCCTGGGCTCAAGCAATCCTCCTGCCTTAACCTCCAGAGTAGCTGGGGCTTTGGCATGCACCATGCCTGGCTAATGTTTTCTGTATATTTTTAGTTGTCTGGCTAATTTCTTCTATTTTAGTAGAGGACGGGGTCTCGCTCTTGCTCTGACTGATCTTGAACACCTGATCTCAAGGGATCCTCCCGCATCGGCCTTCCAGAGTGCTAGGATTATAGGCCTGAGCTACCATGCCCAGCCTTGACACTCACTTTTTTTTTTTTTTTTATCCAAAATGTGTTTAGTTTATTGGGATGACTTCCCATTCATTCAAGCAGGATACTTAGTGCTGCTTCCTTCTGAAGGAACATCCTTCTGTAAGCCTTGCTTTTCCTCCTGTAGGCTGGCAGAGGACACTAGAGCAACCAACACACAAAACTACTGTTTGTGCATGGCTAAACACAGTGGTGATTTTGTAGCATCCTGGGCATTTCACATCCATAAAGTAGGAATTTGGGCTCTGCACCAGGCGCTTCTTCTTGTGTTTCCTCTTCTGGAGAGGGATGAAGGAGATCCTTTGCGAGAGGCATGTTCTCGTGGTAAGGCCGTCACCGCCGGAAAAAGGACACTCACTTTTAAATCCTTTCTGTTTCTACTTCTTTCCTTTCTGTTTCTACTTATTTCTGTTTTAAAATTTTCTTTCTCTTGTTTCCTGTTTTTCTTCCTCTTAATAAATTTTTATTCAAGTCTATTTTCCCTTGAGCACCTTGTAATTAATCTTCATGTTTGATACAGGTTTTATATTTTTCTTTCCTCCTGAGTTTAATAAAATCCTGTTTCACCATTTGATGTTTGTGCTATTTTTTCATTTTCCAAAATTCTTATTGAGAATATTTAAGTTTTAAGTACTCTTATAATTTTCCTATTTGGTACTAGTTTATGGTAAGAATTTTTTTTTGTTTGGTTGAGCGAGTGCGGTGCGCGTGTGTTGTGCGGCTGAGTGGAGTGCGCGTGGTGTGCGCTAGGGTGAGCGAGAAGAGAAGAAAAAGACTTCCAAGAACTCCTGGCTCAAGCAATTCCTCCCTGCCTCAGCCTCCGAGTAGCTGGACTACAGGCAATTGCACCACCATGCATTAGTTGGCAATTAATTGTTCTTTCTATGTTATAGTGAGACGGGTCCGTCGTCTTGCTGCAGGCTGGTTGTCGACACTCTCTGACCTCGAGCAATCCGCCTGTATTGTGCCTCCCAGAGTGGCGTAGGATTTACGAGCGCGTGAGCCACCCACGCTCCTTCGCCGGTAAGACTTCTGAGGCTAATATTTGCATTTTTTGGTTTCTTATCTTGCGAGTTTACATGGAATTTGTGTGGGTCGATTTGTTCTTCGCGCAAGTTCGGTAGCGTGTGGACAGTCCAGAGTTTAACAAGACCGACGACTGACTGCCTGAGGTGGGGGAGTTGGCGGGTGGCTCGCGACGCGCGGTGCTTCGAGCGTGCCTAGGAGCTAGTGAGTGGAGAGCCAGGGTGCATTGTAGTCGAATGAGAGTCGTGAACCAGCGTGACAGAGCGGAGAGCGAGCCGCGCTGTGTGCTGGGGGAGACTAGTAGGACGTAAATGTGATAAGGAGAGTATAAAGTGGGGGCGCAGGGCACTGATAGAGAGGGATGAGCGGGCATGATACAGACCGCAAAGGGAGGAGTGATCGCGCATGTGCGCACGAGGAGGGGATAGCGGACTCGGCGCTTCGGAGTCCCAGCTGACTTTGGGAGAGGCTGAAGCAAGGCAGGAGTTTCTGAGAGGGCCCGGGAGGAGTTGAGTGCTGTCCGAGCATGTACGGCTGACGCGCATAGGCACGTCACTCTAGCTGAGCAAAACAAAGCGAGGACTGTTCTCAAAAAAACAAAAGTCGTATATATAGACTCTTGGAATGTCGTCATTAGTAGTAAGGAGAGATTACTAAGTAATAATTATGATACTAAGAAATGCCGGCGCAGGGGCTCAGTGCGCGTGTGCCGTTAAGGCAGCTCGTGAGCGGGGGGGGGGGGGGGGGATTGCTTGATGTCGCAGGGTCAAAACCCCAGCCTAGCAAGAGTGAGGCCTGTCGTCTGACGTATAAATAGAAGAATTAATTTGCCAAACTAATGCATGGTGGTGCATGCCTGTAGTCCCAGCTACTTGGGAGGCTGAGGCAGTAGGATTGCTTGAGCCCAGGTGATTGAGGTTGCTGTGAGCTAGGCTGATGTCACGGCACTCACTCTAGCCTGGGCAACAAAGCAAGACTCTGTCTCAAATACTAAAAAAGGCAACTCCTTTTTAATTTTATTTTTGTGGCCTTTTTTTGTTTTACTGTCTAATTTAGCTTGTGTGAGTACTGAGAAAACATTACATGCATTCATCATTGGTTGTTTAAAAATTTACATGTTACATTCAATTGAGGTTTCAATGTAATATATTTATAGGGAGATGGTTTTTGATTCTGACTCCACCACTTAATTGCTTTGTTATATATTAAGCAGCACATTTCACTTCTTCTCTTGACCCATATGTAAAATGAGGTTGATGATAGCATTTATCTATTACAATTATGATTAAATGATAACTTTGTCAAGCACTTGGAACGTTTAATTGAATATGTGTTATTATTGATGCCCCAAAAAGCCTCTGCTCTAAGATGACTGGTGAAACCTACTGGTAACATCTTTGCTTTTTAGGTTGCTGGAGGAGCCAATATGAATCAGATTACAGAAGCACTGAGCAGATACAGGAACAGGTCATGTTTTATGAAGGAAGCCCTCTACAGGCTCTTTACAGAGACATTTTCAATGCAGGTAACCATGCCTGCTATTTTAAAGGTAATTGCAGAAAGACAGTTTTTGTTACTATTTAACTTGATTCTATTAAAACATGTTCACTAAATGCACTGTATACAATAAGTTATATGCCTTATTCTATAGTGAGTCAAGTTCCCTCATAGAGAAAAGAAAATGATGTTACGCTTAGCTGCGAAATTGTCTTACTTTGTGCATCTGTATTTACACTGAATCAATTTAAATCAAATAATTTTTAAAATTTGTTATAAGGAGATAGTAGGAACACTGCACTATTTTGTCTGAAATAGGACCTACTAATCTATTAACATGAATTCACTTTGCCCTAGAAGTTTTTTCTTACTCATTTATTCATTTATTTGTTCACTCTTGAAAATCATAACATCTGATTTTCTGAAAGTAAGCATAGAACAAAATAAAAATAATTGAGGATGGCCAAATCTGCCATTTAAAATATTTTATAAATAAAGTTACTATTATTGAGATAGCCAAACTTAGCTGTGGTTTAGGGAGGGATGAGTTTAAGTGTACTTGAAAGTATTAAGTGGGTTGGGGAAAAAAATTGCAGTTAGTTACTTTTCTTTTATATATATGTTTATTTGAAAATTACAATTATTTAGAATTAAGTGAAACATGAAAATGAAGTGTCTTAAGAAAAATCTTTATTTGTAATTGCAGTTCATTTAAAACAAGGCTATTTCTGCAGTATGGGGGATTAAATTTAGTCACTTAAAAGCAATACAGTATAAAGAAATATTTGGACCTTTGTTTTCCATCTGTAATAAGATTCAGTTAGATAGACTAAAAGTCCTTTTCGTTAACTAAGATTCTCTGATTTTTGTCAAAATCCCATTTCTTTTGGTTTCTGGATTTCTAAATTCCAGATGATGGCAATCTAATAAACCCAAAGAGCAGTTTAGCAATATACAAAAAAGTCATTTTCCATAGCAGAAGTATATCCTAAGTCTGTTTCGAGGCTTCATAAGTTCATGCAGCTGTCAAAATTAAGGGTCTCTAGTCTCTTAAAATCATGGTTTATGTAGTATTGGTAGATTCATCTCTGAGATGATTATTTGATAGAGGAAACATGTTTCTGAATGTTAGTGCAGATGGGGTCTAAAGCTTAGAACAGGCCGGGCACGGTGGCTCATGCCTGTAATCCTAGCACTCTGGGAGGCAGAGGTGGGCAGATTGCTTGAGGTCAGGAGTTCGAAACCAGTGTGAGCAAGAGCGAGACCCTGTGTCTACTATAAATAGAAATTAATTGGCCAACTAACATATATATAGAAAAAAAATTAGCTGGGCATGGTGGCGCATGCCTGTAGTCCCAGCTACTTGGGAGGCTGAGGCAGCAGGATTGCTTGAGCCCAGGAGTTTGAGGTTGCTGTGAGCTAGGCTGATGCCAGGGCACTAACTCTCGCCTGGGCAACAAAGTGAGACTCTGTCTCAAAAAAATAAAATAAAATAAATAAAGCTTAGAACAATGCCCTCATTTTACATTTGTGTTCTAGGTCTTCCACAGTCTGGCTTTAAATTACCTGGGGTTTTTTTGTTGTTGTTGTTTGTTTTTCTTTTTTGAGACAGAATCTCACTCTGTCGCCTTGGTAGAGTATAGTCGCATCATTGTAGTTCACTGGAACCTCAAACTCATGGGCTTAATGTATCCACCTGCCTTAGACTCCCAAGTAGCTGGAACTACAGGTGTATACCACAGCACCCAGCTAATTTTTCTAGTTTTTGTAGAGATGGGGTCTTATTCTTGCTCAGGCTGGTCTTAACTCTTGTGCTCAAGCAGTCCTCCCACCTCGGCCTTCCAGAGTACCAGGACTACAGGGACTGCCCAGCATAAATTACCTTTCTAATGTTTTGTGTTATCACTTTTCAAATTCTTCTCCTCTGTTCTTCTCCCCATCCTCTTGTCCACTTTGTGGTTTTCCTTATCATACTTCCCTTTGCTGAGAATACCCTGTCCATTTTGCCCCTACTTTTCTCTCTTTCTGTCTAATCGTATTTGAGATCCTGCCTAGATGTGCTCTCTGCATGAAACTTTTTGATTATTTGATTATTTGCCTTGATAACTACATCAGAAACCACTTCATTTGTACCTCTTTTAGGTTTCCTTTTTTTTTTTTTTTTTCCAATTTTATGTTTTGGCCTTCCTCACAGTGTTGTTTGGTTACATACCCTATTTTTCTTAGAAGGCTTTGTACTAATGTATAAATCTGAATCGTTTTTGTATCCACTGCAATGCCTATCACAATAGATGATTATGAAATTAATTTCATAGATGAGGAAACAGAGGTCCAGAGAAGGGAAATGACTTGCCCAGAGTTATACAACTATAGTTAGTGACTGCATTTGGATTAGAAGATATTGTTGCAATATCTTGATGTCCTAAAGAATAAATGCTAATAATAGGGAAAATCTGTTACTGTCCCAGTGAGGAAATGTTTTTGCCAACCAAAATACATAAGACTGTATAAAGAATATGAATGTTGTCAGTGCCACTAAAAACAAAATTCATCTTCAGCTTGTGGCTGTAGGAATGAGGAATCATCCATTGGATTTACCAGTGCAGTTCACGGCCAGTGCTTGTGCTCTGAACTTAACACGCCAGGGCCTGGCCAGGGGGATGCCTGTTCGTCTATTGTCAGAGGTCACCTGTCTGCTTTTCAAAGCTTTGAAAAACTTCCCCCATTATCAGCAGGTAATTTGGATTGAATATTTGTTTGTGTTCTTTTAACTTCAGGACAAACACATGAAAAATAGGTATTATTCTGATTTTCCCTCCTATTAGAGAAAGAGAATAGATGAGTTTGCATTTGTTATAGAAGAAAATAGGAAATATGGATAAGCAATGAGGTTAACATTTTTTAAATCTCTCATAAACTAGTTATCCAGAAATGTCTATTAACACTTCAGTATATCCTTTTAGGCTTAAAAATCTTGACTTCTGGCCGGGCGCTGTGGCTCACGCCTGTAATCCTAGCTCTTGGGAGGCCGAGGCGGGCGGATTGCTCAAGGTCAGGAGTTCAAAACCAGCCTGAGCAAGAGCGAGACCCCGTCTCTACTATAAATAGAAAGAAATTAATTGGCCAACTGATATATATATAAAAAATTAGCCGGGCATGGTGGCGCATGCCTGTAGTCCCAGCTACTCGGGAGGCTGAGGCAGAAGGATCACTCAAGCCCAGGAGTCTGAGGTTGCTGTGAGCTAGGCTGACGCCACGGCACTCACTCTAGCCTGGACAACAAAGCGAGACTCTGTCTCAAAAAAAAAAAAAAAAAAAAAAAAAAAAAAAAAAAATCTTGACTTCTGCCTCACTCCACACATGAAAATGAAGTTTGACTAAATCATAGATCTCAATATAAAAGCTAACATAATAAAAATTTTGTAAGAAAACATAGGAGAAAATATTTATGACCTCAGGGTAAGCAAAAATATCTTAGGATACAAAAAGCACACATCATAAAAGAAAAAAATGGAAGTTCATCAAAATTAAAAGTTTTTCTCTCACACACTTACAGATGTGCACACATATACACAAATATTAAGAAAAATACTGTCTGGCACAAAAAGGCATATGAAGTACTGATACATGCCACACGCACCTCAAAAATGCATGCTGAGCAAAGTAAGTGGGACATGAAAGAACAGATAGTGTATGATTCCATTTATGTGAAACTTTAAAAAATGCTAATCTATAGTGACAGTGTAATTTCCGGGCTGGGGTTTGCAAGGTCAGGATTGACAGGAAGGAATCACAGTGGAACTATTTGGGATGATAGAAATATTTTTATCTTGATCGAGGTGTGGTGGTTGCACAGGTGTATGAATTTGTCAAATCTAGTTAAAATGTGTACTTAAAATGAGAGTTGATTTTTTAAAAATACAGTGAGGAAGGCAGTTTTCTTCACTTATATAAAAAAATTCATATTTTTACCTTCTCTTGAAAGTTCCTGCTGAACTCAATCTTCATTCCTCAATAGCAACCATCAGTTATATAATATTACTAAATGAAAAACTTGAAGAAGGCCAGGTACTCAGCTCTAAATAAGAAAAGTTCATTGGTAGGACCTTCCAAATGTTTAGAACCTTTATTTAGAATGGAGTATGACATTTGTTCAAACTATTTTTCTTTATTCTCTAAAAGTTACAGAAGAATTGTCTTCTCTCCTTAACCAATTCCAGGATTCTTGTGGATGTTCCATTTGACAGGCAAGTATAAAACTTGGTCCTCTGATTGGGGTGTTGACCAATGTTACTTTGAGCATTGTTAGCTTTTGATTATTGAACACATGGGCCTGGTTAAAGCTGGGATAAGGTGTTTTGGGAAAAGGCTCTATTGAGCCTCTTCCACAGAGGTGATTAGAAGTACCTGCCTGCAAATGTTATCTCCTAAAGTGAGTCCAGTACAGAGCAGTGGATAAGAAACATAGGCTCCGGAGAGTCAAACATACTTAGACTGAAGGTCTAGCTCCTTCCATTGTCTTTGCTCCTAAGTTTCTTCATTTGTCAGTGTTTACACCTAGTTTAAGAGGTATAGCCTGTTCTAAAGAATATTAGTCATTCTTTTCATTACATAATTATTACTTTGTTATCTAATAATAATTTTTAAAAATCATCATCCTAGGCATACAAGAGGGATTCCTCTTGAGGCCTTTGTGAGTTTACAAATACATAATTGTTGGCTTGGTGTGGTGGCTCATGCCTATAATCCTAGCACTTTGGAGCCTATAATCCTAGCACTTTGGGAGACCGAGTCAGGAGGATTGTTTGAGGCCAGGAGTTTGAGACTAACCTGATCAACAGCAAGGCCCCATCTCACAGGAAAAATAAGCTAGGCATGGTATTGCACACCTACAGTCCCAGCTACTCAGGAGGCTGAGTTAGGAGGATTGCTTGAGCCCAAGAGTTTGAGGTAGCAGTGACCTACAATGACACTACTGCACTCTAGCCCAGGCAAGAGTGAGACCCTGTGTCAAACAAAATCCCAAAACAAAAATATTTACAGTATTTGATGCAAAGAACAAAAAAATGAGGCACAAGCTGACATGAGCAAAGCCTCTGATTTGTGGGTACAGGTTATTGGCTAAGCCACGTTCTAACCAAGTTCCTTGTTTGCAGCATTTTAGGTCTACAATTCAGTTTACAAATTACTACCTCTGTGGGAACTCTCATTCTTTTTCAGACCCATGGTAGTAGAAAATGAATGATAAAGTTTTTTGCTTGTATTTCTTTCTCCAAATCTTGTGCATTTTGCTCACAGTTTTAGTTTTATTTGTTTACTCTTTTGTTCCCCTCCTTATCTTCTGTCTTTGACAAATGCTCTTGGTTTTCACAGCTGAGGCTTTAGAAGTCCAAGACTATCTTTGTTAAAGCATTAGATGGGGAAAGCTAAGTAATTTCTTTCCTCTGCCCAAATCTATAGTTTCACAAATTTTATTTAATTGTGAGAAAAATAAATACTGCTTTTCAGATTTGATGCAGCCAAGTTTGTTATGAGATGGCTCTGTAAGCATGAAAACCCCAAGATGCAAACAATGGCAGTGAGCATCACCTCTATTTTAGCCCTGCAGGTATGTGATCACCTAAAGGCAAGATATCTGTCTCCCTAGTTTTTATAGAGTTCAAATATTTCACATTAGGCTTTCTGTTTGCCTCTAGCTTTCACCTGAGCAAACTGTCCAACTTAAAGAAGAGCTCTTCATGGCAGTTAAGGTAGGTTGAGTGTCACTTTTTTTTTTTCTGGGGTAAAGCAGCCTACAAAGTATCTGTTGTGGACTGGGCCTGTTTGTCACTTTTGTAATTCTTTTTTTTTTTTTTTTTTGTTAAGTAAATTTCTGACCATAGTTTTAAAAAATCATTCTAAAAGGACTAAATGAGAAATCTGTAAAATATGCTCTCCATAAGAAACTTTCTATTCTTACAGCTACTTCTTTTGGAATTTACCTCCACATTTCTGAATATAATAAGATGCTTATACTGCAGTTTCTTGATTTAGCAGTTTTAGCTGTTATCAGTTGGTTTTGCTGCTATGGAGAACATAGTTCTCCTCCATAAAGAGAGTCATTTATATTTCCTGTAAACTGTCTATTCATGGCCTTGTGTATATTTTCTTTGGATGTTTGGCTTTTTCCCTACTTTATAGGATTTTCTTTAATAGATAAAGGAAATAAGCCTTTGACCAAGATAGTAGATGCATATATTTTCTCCCAGTTTGTGCTTTGTCTGTTTTTACTTCATTTATGGCATTTGTTGCCATACAATAATATATATATGTTTGTTTTTTTTTTCAATAAGAAACAGGGTCTTGGCCGGGCGTGGTGGCTCACGCCTGTAATCCTAGCACTTTGGGAGGCCGAGGCGGGCGGATTGCTCAAGGTCAGGAGTTCGAAACCAGCCTGAGCGAGACCCCGTCTCTACCAAAAATAGAAATAAATTAATTGACCAACTAAAAATATATATACAAAAAATTAGCCGGGCATGGTGGCGCATGCCTGTAGTCCCAGCTACTCGGGAGGCTGAGGCAGTAGGATCGCTGAGCCCCAGAGATTGAGGTTGCTGTGAGCCAGGCTAATGCCACGGCACTCACTCTAGCCTGGGCAACAAAGTGAGACTCTGTCTAAAAAAAAAAGAAACAGGGTCTCGGCCGGGCACAGTGGCTCATGCCTGTAATCCTAACACTCTGGGAGGCCGAGGCGGGCGGATTGCTCGAGGTCAGGAGTTCGAAACCAGTCTGAGCAAGAGCGAGACCCCGTCTCTACTATAAATAGAAAGAAATTCATTGGCCAACTAATACATATAGAAAAAATTAGCCGGGCATGGTGGCGCATGCCTGTAGTCCCAGCTATCGGGAGGCTGAGGCAGAAGGATTGCTTCAGCCCAGGAGACTGAGGTTGCTGTGAGCTAGGCTGACGCCTTGGCATTCACTCTAGCCTGGGCAACAAAGTGAGACTCTGTCTCCAAAAAAAAAAAAAAAAAGAAACAGGGTCTCACTCTTGCTCAAGCTGTTCTTGAACTCCTGAGCTCAAATGATCGTCCCGCCTTGGCCTCCCAGAATGCTAGGATTACAGGCATGAGCCACCGCACTCAGCCAATTTTTTATTTTTATGTGTTTGAATCTGTTCTTTTATGCCTTGTAACACACATATAAACTATTTCCGTCCTAGTTTTAAAAATTCCTCATGTATTTTTTTATTCTGTGTTTTCTTTTACATTTAACATATAAATATTTAATTTATTTGGAATTTTTTTGAGATATACAGGTCTTTTTTTTTTTTTTTTTGTAGACAGAGTCTTGCTGTGTAGCCCAGGCTAGAGTATAGTAACATCATCATAGCTCACTGCAACCTCCAACCCCTGGGCTCAAGAGATCCTCCTATTTCAGCCTCCCAAGTAGCTGGCACCACAGGGGCACACCACCACACCAGGCTAAATTTTCTATTTTTTTGTGGAGATGGGATCTCACTCTTGATCATTCTGGTCTCAAACTCCTGACCTCATGCAATCCTCCTGCCTTGGCCTCCCAGAGTGCTAGGATTACAGGTGCGAGCCACACCAGGCCTAAACTTTAATTTTGAAGAGGGGCTGGGTGTGGTGGCTCACTCTTGTAATCCTAGCACTCTAGGAGGCCGAGGCAGAGACCAGCCTAGCAAGAGCGAGACCCTGTCTCTACTAAAAATAGAAAGAAATTAACTGACCAACTAAAAATATATAGAAAAAAATTAGCCAGGCATGGTGGCGCATGCCTGTAGTCCCAGCTTCTCAGGGGGTTGAGGCAGAAGGATTGCTTGAGCCCAGGAGTTAGAGGTTGCTGTGAACTAGGCTGATGCCATGGCACTTTAGCCCAGGCTACAGAGTGAGACTCTATCTCATAAAAACAAAACAAAACGAAAAAAAAAAACACATGCTCAAAAACTTTGAGGTAGTTGTAATTTAAGAAAGAAAATATTATCAGAAAGCTATTAAGTGGTAGAACTTGGGTTTAGAACCCAGGTTTGATTCTCGAGCTGTTTTTTTTTTATTTTTTTGAGACAGAGTCTCACTTTGTTGGCTAGGCTAGAGTGAGTGCCATGGCGTCACCCTAGCTCACAGCAACCCCAAACTCCTGGGTTCAAGCAATCCTACTGCTTTAGCCCCTGAGAAGCTGAGACTATAGGCATGCGCTACCATGCCCGGCTAATTTTTTCTATATATATTAGTTGACCACTTATTTTATATTTATAGTAGAGAAGGGGTCTCGCTCTTGCTCAGGCTGGTTCAAACTCCTGACCTGGAGCAAGCCACCCGCCTGGGCCTCCCAGAGTGTTAGGATTAACCGGCCGGGCCTCAAGCTGTTTTTAACTTCACTTTCCTTATACTGGAATCGAATTAGTCATTAGGGCATCTAACTCCCTGTCTCTTTTGTTTTTAGGAACTTCTAGCAATAGTAAAACAAAAGACTACTGAGAATTTAGATGATGTCACCCTCTTGTTTACTTTGAAAGCACTTTGGAATCTTACAGATGAGTCTCCAGCTGCCTGCAAGCACTTTGTTGAAAATCAGGGATTGGCAGTCTTCATGCAAGTCTTGGAGGTGGGAAAATAGGATTGAGTTTTTATATAAAGTTTTTTTCTTTGTGATAAAGTAACCTATATGTTCTTTTGACAGACTTTTTCAGAGTCAGCAATACAAAGCAAAGTACTTGGTCTTTTGGTAAGATGAATTGTTCTGGATTAATTTTAACTACTTTTTAAAAATATTAACATTTTGGTAGCACCTACTATATGCTAGGCACTGTTGTAAGCAATTTTTACATGAATAAACTGATTTAACTTCACATCCCTGTAAAGGATATAACCACTATATATTGGTTATCTATTGATGTGAACGAACTGTAGCTTAGTGGCTTAAAACAATAGCTATTTTTATTATAAATCTGTGGGTTAGCAGTATGAACTCAGCTCAGCTGTACAGTTGTTCTCCTGGTCTCATGTGGGGTCACTCATGTAGCTGCAGTCATCTGGTGGCTTGTGTAGGGCTGGCTAGTTGAATGGGCTGACTCTTGTGTCTGCCACTTGGTGCTGATTATTGGCTGGCCCTGTGTCTCCATGTGCTTCTTCATATGGCTGTCACAGGGCAACAATAGAGAGCGGGCCCCACTGTCCAGTGCTTTTTAAGCCTGTGCTGATGTCACCTTTGTACTTTGTATCTGTTTGGACGGTGCAGATTATATGGTTAAGCCCAGATTAAAGGCGATGGCCATCCCTTGATGGGATGAGCAGCAAAGTCACATTGCTAAAGGGCTAGGAAAAACCGTGTTTCGTATGCACCACACACTGTTATCCACATTTCATAGATAAAGAATCTGTGGCTCAGAAGTGCCGTTTATCCAGTCACCTAGGTAGTAGGAGGCAGAATCAAAATGCAAGCTCAGGCAGTCTAGCTCTAGACACTCTGATATTAACCACTTTATTATACTTTTTGTTTACCAAGGCAATCAATTTTTTAGAAATTTTTTTGTTAATACTTCTGTACTGCCTCTCAGGCAAGATATTCAATAATTGAGAAATTTCTTTGTTTCCCAACAATAACAGTGAAGATTTTCAAAAAGTATTGAAGACATATTATAAGCATCTGCAGTTTGCCATACCCTATGCAATGGGAGACAAACAGATATATGAAATATATCAAGGTTATGATGCTTATAACTTATAACTGGGAGGTGATGTAAGATGTACAAATAGCTGTCTAAGATTGACTGTGGTAAGTATTAGGAGAGAGGCACAAAGTCCTTTGGGAGCCTTTGGTTCTAGATTATGAACTCCCTCAAAGCAGGGACTGTGCCTTATCCTTTTACTATACTTTGCCTATATACGACTCAGAACAGAGTAAACGTGAAAGTCTTCACAGGGAGGAATAAATAATTAATACTGGAAATTTGGAGGTATAGAAAAGTAGAAGAGACAAAGAAGGTAGACAATAAAAGTCATTTTGGCTAAGGAAAGTGAGAAAATGTAATCATTTCAGGGACACTGTAAAACAGAATAGTTGGAATTTTGGGAGAGGTGGGAAGTAGAAAAACAATGGGAATTAATGTCAGAAAACTGGATCGAAGCCTCATATAGCCTGTACAATGCTAAATATCTTAGTAGCAAACCTAAAAGATCTTCCTTTTTTTTTTTTTTGAGACAGTCTTGCTTTGTTGCCCAGGCTAGAGTGAGTCCTGTGGCGTCAGCCTAGCTCACAGCAACCTCAAACTCCTGGGCTCAAGCAATCCTGCTGCCTCAGCCTCCCGAGTAGCTGGCTGGGACTGGGACTACAGGCATGCACCACCATGTCTGGCTAATTTTTTCTATATATATTAGTTGGCCAATTAATTTCTATCTATTTATAGTAGAGATGGGGTTTTGCTCTTGCTCAGGGTGGTTTCGAACTCCTGACCTCGAGCAATCTGCCTGCATCGGCCTCCCAGAGTGCTAGGATTACAGGCATGAGCCCCCCACGCCTTTTTTTTTTTTTTTTTTTTTTGAGAGTCTTGCTCTGTCACACCGAGTAGAGTGCAGTGGTGTTATTATAGTTCACTGCAACCTCAAACTCCCGGGCTCCAGTGACCCTCCTGGCTCAGCCTCCTAAGTAGCTAGGAGTATACAGGTGCATGCCACTGTACCCGGCTAATTTTTCTATGTTTAGTGCTCTTGCTCAGTCCTGTCTTGAACTCCTGAGCTCAAGCGATCCTCCCACCTTGGCCTCCCAGAGTGATAAGAGGTAAGATTATAGTGTGAGCCCCTGTGCCTGGCCTACTTTTTTTTTTTTTTTTGAGACTCTCAGAATGCTAAATGTTTACAAGAAAAAACTTGGGGCTGAACTGAGATGCTGCTCTCACTAATGCCGAGGAGACTATCGTCTTGTTTCCCCTTGTTTGGGGCTTACATCTGAAACTTAACACTGAAATCATTGACTAGGGTATAGTTGATCTTGGGAACAACAGTGGGTGGGGCAGGGGGCATTTCAATTTCTGCTTCAACTTTTAGTGTTCTGTGCTCTTTTCAACATACTAGTGTCTAGGGTGTACTTTCCTGAAAGCTGTTTCAAAGGCAGCAGAAATTAGCACTAACACTAGAAATACCAAACAAACACACATTAACCTCAAGATTATAAAAAAAAAAAGAAAAGGAAATTAGCACTAACATTAACTGCAGTGTTTACTTCGACTGTTTGTTTCACCCCTTAAACCTTGTTTTTCCATTTGTGTTAAGAGGCCCTAAGGTGATCCTGATGATCCCAACTTCCTACATCTTTATGTAATCCCTTCCCCTCAAGTGTAGGCAGGACCTTTTATTTGCTTCTAACATTTAGAACATGGCAAAGACAATAGAAAATCACTCCCATGATTATGTTACCATATATGTGTGTGTGCTAGCAGACATGCTGGCTCTGAAAGAGTAAACTGTCATGAAGTAAATTGTTGAGCAGTGAGAAGCCCACGTTGCAAGGAACTTTGGGCATCTTCTAGGCTGAGGATGGCTCCAGGAAGAAACTGAATCATTGAGTTCTGGAGCCCCAGAAAATGAATTCTGCTGACAGTCTGAGCTAGCTTAGAAGTAAATTCTTCCTCATTGGGGCCTCCAGATGAGAATGCAGCCCAGCCAACACTTTGTGAGATCTAAGAGTAGAGGATCTAGTTAAGTCATGCCTAGACTCCTTATCCTCAGAAACTGTGAGATAATAAATGCATATTGTTTTAAGCCATTAAGTTTGTGGAAATATGTTACACAGCATCAAAAAGTAATGCAATGTATAAAATGCAACCTGCTTTCACTGTTAAAACTTTAAGATGATGAAACATTTAGTAGGCACTCAGTAATGTTAAGTTTTTGAGTTAGGCCTTATTAGCAGTGCGAATCTGACAAGTTAGTCTTGCTGAGTATCAAGTTTCTTCATAGAATTTTTTTAAAGATTAAATGAGATATGGCAGATATAAAGACATTTTTATGTATCAAAGACTGTGCCTGGCACTTAGTAAGTGCTTATTGAGTGATTTGTTATTAATGATCATCCTCATCATCAAGCATGAGAATGTGGGTATTGGGCTAATTGAGATGGAGGGGGATGAAACTAAGTGTTCTGAATGGATTTGCACTGAACAGTGGAAAGTGGAGAAGCCAGTTCCTGATTCTCTCCTTCCGTCCTGTCCTTGTCCCTGATGTTCCCTGCTCCATCTGACCTGTAGAACAACGTAGCAGAAGTCAAAGAGCTGTCTTCCAGGCTTTTGAGTGAAGATATGATGAAGCGTATCCGCAGTTTACTCCACAGCAAGGAAATGGAAGTGAGCTATTTTGCTGCAGGTATCATAGCCCACCTGACATCGGACAGACAGCCTTGGCTATCCCGTGACTTTCAGAGAAGTGCTCTTCTCCAAGAGCTGGTATGGGATCCATTCTTTTTTACAAAATCCAGAGTAATCTCTTCTCAAAAAAATCTTATTTTTTCCAGATCATAAGAGTTTTAGAAATACATGATCATTGTAGAAAATGGGAAAAACACAGAAAAAGAAATTGTAACTCACGCATACCTCACCTCCCAAAGCCAATCTCTGTTAACATTTTGTTGCATTCCTTCTAATATTTTTCTTTTAAAATTTACACTTAAAGGCCAGGCATGGTGTCTCATGCCTGTAATCCCAGTATTTTGTGAAGCCAAAGTAGGAGGATTGCTAACGCCCAGGACTTTAAAACCAGCCTAGGCAACATAGACAAATCTCTACAAAAGATAAGAAAAATTAGCCAGGCATGGTAGCACGTGCCTATAGTCCCAGCTTCTTGGGACACTGAGCAAGAGGATCCCTTGAGCCCAGGAATCAGAGGTTGCAATGAGCTATGATGATGGTACTCCACAACAGCCTGAGTGACATTGACAGTAAGACCCTATCTCTAAAAAAAGGGGGAAGGAAACTTATATATGGAAATAGTTGCATATGGCTTGTTCCAGTCCTTTTCTGATTTTCAGCTCTGTTAAAAGCTATTTCCTGGCGGGGCACAGTGGCTCATGCCTGTAATCCTAGTACTATGGGAGGCCAAGGTGGGCGGATTGCTTGAGGTCAGGAGTTCGAAACCAGCCTGAGCAAGAGTGAGGTCTCTTGCTATAAATCTCTACTATAAATAGATAGAAACCCCATCTCTACTGTAAATAGATAGAAATTAATTGGCCAACTAATATATATAGAAAAAATTAGCCGAGCATGGTGGCACATGCCTGTAGTCCTAGCTACACAGGAGGCTGAGGCAGCAGGATTGCTGGAACCCAGGAGTTTGAGGTTGCTGTGAGCTAGGCTGACACCACGGCACTCACTCTAGCCTGGGCAACAATGGGAGACTGTCTCAGAAAAAAAATTTTTAAATTAAAAAAAATCCATTTCTTTTGGTATTTACTTCCGTATTTCTGAATAATGTTGCTATTCTTGAATTTGCAGTTTTAGGCATCATCCATCAATTCATTTTCTCACTCTGGAAAATGAAGATTCTTTTTCTTACTGTCCATATGCATACCCTTTCCAGGTATATTCTTCAGGTATAAATCTTTTAATACATTCAAATATATTCTATCCACTTTACTTTCTTAGCATCTTCTTTCTCAGAGTCTTCCATCTGGTCTGCTTGTTTCTTTCATCTGGTCTGCTTGTTTTATATACAGTATCTACTATACCTCTGTCACCCCTAGGATATTCTTTTAGTATCCCGGGGATTCCCTCCGCCTCTCTCTTTTGTTGGATTCCCTGTTTCCTGGATTTTGTGCCTTCCTGTTTCTTGGTTTGTCACCTCATTTGTTGGATTATATCCTTCAGTAGCTTCCTAAGAAGAGACACTTGACAGTAAGACCTTACCTGTTTGAAAAGGCCTTTGTTTCCAGTGCAGTAGCTGGGACTAAAGGTGCATGCCACCATGCCTGGTTATTTTTCTTATTTTTTTGCAGAGATTTCTCTCACTATGTTGCCTAGGCTGGTCTTCAACTCCTGGGCTTAAGTGATCCTCCTGCCTCAGCCTCCTGAGTAGCTGGGACTACAGGCATGCGCCACCATGCCCAGCTAATTTTTATATATATATGCGCCACCATGCCCAGCTAATTTATATATATGTGTGTGTGTGTATACACATACATATATACACAAACTTCTTTAGTTGTCCAGCTAATTTTCTATTTTTTTAGTAAAGACTGGTCTCTCTCTTGCTCAGGCTGGTCTTGAACTCCTGAAATCAAATGATCCTCCCACCTTGGCCTCCCAGAGTACTAGGATTACAGGCATGAGCCACCGCACCCGGCCAGTGTGCGGTTTCTTTTTTTCTTTTATTTTTCTTATTTTGTTTTTTGAGACGGAGTCTTGCTTTGTTGCCCAGAGTGAGTGCCATGATGTCAGCCTAGCTCACAGCAACCTCAAACTCCTGGGCTCAAGCAATCCTGCTGCCTCAGCCCCCCGAGTAGCTGGGATTACAGGCATTGCGCCACCATGCCCGGCTAATTTTTTCTATATATGTTAGTTGGCTAATTAATTTCTTTCTATTTATGGTAGAGACCGGGTCTCGCTCTTGCTCAGGCTGGTTTCAAACTCCTGACCTCCAGTAGTCCGTCCACCTTGTCCTCCCAGAGTGCTAGGATTATAGGCGTGAGCCACTGCGCCTTGCCCAGTTTTTTCATTGTTACTCTTTAAGATCTTTGTCCTCAGTATTCAGAAATCACAATGATGTCCCTTGATGTGGGTTTATTTTCATGTGTTGTATTGGGTACTTATCACGCAGGAAGCTTGTTTCTCAGTTTGGGGAAACTTTAAATTGTTTTCATCAACTCCCTAATCCCCTTTTATTTTTTCTCTTGTTCTGGGATGTTGGCCATCCCAGGCTCATTTTTTCATACCTATCTCCCTATTTGTCCTTGTTCATCTTCTTTAACTTCTACTCTTGAATTTTGCATTTCTCTTATTATGTTTCTAGGAACTCCTTTTTGTTAATAGTTCTCTGAGTGATTTTTTTAAAAAAAATACGATATTCTATTCGTCTTTCATGGTTGCTGTATCTCTTTCCTCTTCAGAGGTATTAATGATAGTTAATTAATTTAATTTGTAAAAATTTTTCTCTCTTGAAATTCTGTTTCCTATAGGTTGCTTTTTTTCCCCCTATTTGTTTTCTTCCTTTGTATTAGAGATTTTCTTAAAGTGTATGGTGATCCTCAGCTGTCCATTAATATCAAGAGTGGGACTGTTTGAAAACTGCAAATGGTTAGAACTTGTCAACTGCTAGCTTCACTATAGAGTGATCTGGATTAGGTGTTCCTTGATGTCAGTGTCTCTTTAGATCTTTTGTTCTAAACTGGTTGGAACTTACCTGAAGAAGAATCTTCTATTCTCTTGCATAAAACTATAAGCCTGGTTGCCAGCACTCTAAAAGCTCAGTAAAGGAAGAGAGTTTGGGCAAGGGAAGTCTCAAATTTTATTATTTAGATTTTCACTTTATATCCTTCTCTGGGTCGTTTTGCTGTTTGTGATATGAGACAGACAGTTGCTGTGAGTGTCATCAAAGCAGTGGACAAGAAGGCTGCTGGAGCTGACAAGGTCACCAAATCTGCCCAGAAAGCTCAGGCTAAATGAATATTATCCCTAATACCTGCCACCCCACTCTTAATCAGTGGTGGAAGAACCATCTCAGAATTTTTTGCTTCAATTGGCCATTTAAGTTTAATAGTAAAAGACTGGTTGTTAATAACAATGCATCCTAAAACCTTCAGAAAGAAAGGAGAATGTTTTGTGGGGGAAAAAAACAGATTTTCACTTTTTAATCCTCTATTTTTAGCATGGTGCTCCTACTCTTAATAGTTCATGGGTTTGCCTAGTCTTTTTTTTTTTTTTTTTTTTTGAGACAGAGTCTCTATTGCCTGGGGTAGAGTGCCATGGCGTGGGCCTAGCTCACAGCAACCTCAAACTCCTGGACTCAAGCAATCCTTCTGCCTTAGCCTCCCGAGTAGCTGGGACTACAGGCATGCGCCACCATGCCCAGCTAATTTTTTCTATATATTTTTAGTTGGCCAATTAATTTCTTTCTATTTATGACATGGGGTCTCGCTCTTGCTCAGACTGGTTTCGAACTCCTGACCTTGAGCGATCAGCCCATCTCAGCCTCCCAGAGTCCTAGGATTCCAGGCATGAGACAGGGCGTCCAGCCTCAAGCCACTTTTACTATTAATGGGATTTAAGGAAAAAGTAGAGGTAAATGCATGTGCAGCCCACTATCTTTAAACAAATGCTCCTTTTTATTTTTTCCCACATGACTTGCTTCATATATTATACATATGTAATGATTATCTGATTGATATTTTGTCAAGTAGGTATGTCTGAATTTGTTTATTCTTATTTTGAAGACTTTTGTTTTAAAATATATGTATTATAGTAATTACAAATAACATGAAATCGTTTATTATAACCTGTAAAATGATGGAATACAATATTAGAATCCTGGTTCCTCTTTGTCTTTCTCTCTCTCTCTCTCTCTCTTTTTTTTTTTTTTTTTGGTATAGCATGCAACTATCCAGAATTGGCCAAGTTCAAGTTGTAAAATGACAGCATTGGTGACCTACAGGTAAGTTCATGATGATCATGTGCATATTTCTTAAAGCTTGTCCTCAGTATACTCAGTGATAAAGTATTAGAGCCAGTTAGCCTTCTGTTCAAATCCTATTTTTATGTGATACTGGGAAAATCATTACTAGAAAATCTGTGAGGCTTAGTTTTCCTCATCTGTAAAATGAGGCTGACAGTGTATATAAGATTAAAGATGAAATGAGATGTTGAATATATAGTGTCTAATACAGAATGCAGTTTGTTAAATGGTAACTCCCTTCATATACTTAGCAATAATACATATGCATCAGTGAGATCTACTAAGTCAGTTACCATTTCTCCATATGCTTTGTTCCGTTGTGTTTGCCTTTTTTTTTTTTTTTTTTTTGAGACAGAGTCTTGCTTTGTTGCCCAGGCTAGAGTGAGTGCCGTGGCATCAGCCTAGCTCACAGCAACTTCAAACTTCTGGGCTCAAGCGATCCTTCTGCCTCGGCCTCCCAAATAGCTGGGACTACAGGCATGGACCACCATGCCAGGCTAATTTTTTATTTTTATATATATATATTAGTTGGCCAATTAATTTCTATTTATAGTAGAGACGGGGTCTAGCTCTTGCTCTGGCTGGTTTTGAACTCCTGACCTCGAGCTATCTGCCTGCCTCGGCCTCCCAGAGTGCTAGGATTACAGGCGTGAGCCACTGCACCCAGCCTTGCCTTTTATTTTAAACCATTTCCCCACACCCCCTGGAGAAATGTTGAAAATTATGATTATATCCCTAAACATTGGCCAGAGTTCTAAAATAACATCTTTGTGCTTTCTTAGATCTTTCAAGGCATTTTTCCCGCTCCTTGGCAACTTCTCTCAACCAGAGGTTCAGCTCTGGGCACTATGGGCTATGTATCATGTCTGCAGTAAAAACCGTATGTATTCAAACATAATTGTTTTCTAGCTCTTTTTCTGTGTAAGAAACACATTCAAGATGGATTTTCAAAAAATCATTCACCTGTGTTTTCTGAATTTAGGTGTTTTTTAAAAGAAGCTGGAAAGTTGATTAGTTAAAAACTACTACAGAGTTGGTAATATATTTGGGGTGGATAGCAAGCAGTATGGACAGTGCAAGTGTGTTCCCATTCCTGTTCCTTACAGGCAAGCACTCTTCATAATTTGATAGGTATCCTTCCAATACTTTTCTATATCCATGCTGTATTTAGTGTATGCTTGCTGTCTATCTCTCTATATATATCTGTCTGTGCATGTTGTCCTACAGCTTGCTTTTTTCATTCAACAGTTTTATCACTAACACTCTTTCTATGGTAATACATATACTGCCTCTTTATAATGGTCTGTGGGATACAGGAGACCAACAATTGGGTTATTTCCCAGCCAGATTAAATGTTTTTGCACTTGAGAATTTTTGTTTATATCCTTTGTTCAGGATTATTTTAAACACTTTGCTTTTATTATAAAAGAGATATAGGCTATGATTTTATATTAGAAAACCCAAAAGAAAACTTACAGAATTAAAAGTTTAGCATAGTGACTAGTTATGAAGTAAATGTATAAAAACCAATAGTTTTCTAATACCAGCAAAAACTCACAAAATAAGGGAAAAGATATCATTTACTTTATCAACAAAAACATAAAATTTCTAAAAATGGCTTTAACAAAGGAATGAGACCTATATGCAGAAAACTGTGAAATAATTTAAAACCTGAAATAATTATGAAACATACCGTATTCCAAGATGGAAAAACTTATTAAGATAAGATACAGATGTCAATTGTATAATACAATTCAAGTGAATGGGTAAGAGATGGGGGATCTGAAACTTATTCCAAAATTTATCTGGCAGAGTAAATAGGCAAGAACTAACAAAGAAAAATCATTTTTAGGAGCGTGCCCTAACAGTTCTCTTAACATTATAAAAATATGCTATGAGTGGTATTGACATATGAATAGATAGGGAGATTAGTGGATCAGAATGGCCTTGAAACTGACTCCAGTATATTCATGTATAACAGGAGTAGCCATAACAACAGTTAGAATTTAGTTGAGTACTTTGTGCCAGGCAGTGTTGTAAGCTCTCTATGCACAACTCATTTAGTCTTCACAACTAATAGTGTCATTATTATCATCATCCATCATAGATAAGACAACTGAGGCACAGAGAAGTTAAGTAACTTGCCCAAGTTTAAAACAGCTTGTAGCTGCCAGAGCCAAGGTTCTAACCTAATGATCTGACTCCAGAAGCAGCACCATTAATAATTAATGACTACTAAGTATTTCTTCACCCTATGGATGTAATAATTTATTTAACCCATCTTTTTTGGACGATGGACATTGTTTCTAGTCTTATTACAAACACTACTTCAATAAATAATAATATATGTAAATAGAAAAAGCAAGATGCACATATGCAATAGTGTTGTAATTTAGGGGACAGATACTGGATCCAGACTACCTGTGCTGTATTCCCAGTTTCGGCCATTTACTAACTGGAGCAAAGTACTCAGCTCCTCTGTGCCTCAGTTTTCATCTAAAATGGGAATAATAATACCTAGTTCATATGGTGGTTATGAGAATTGAGTTAATATTTGTTAAAGCATTTAGAACAGTGGTTGGCTCATACTAGCATTTGTTAAATAACTGTACTCCATCTTGCAAATGTGAGTTAATCAGCAGAATCCTTGGAATTGCTGAGTCAAAGGGTGTTTGGTTGGTTGGTTGGTTTTGTTTTTTAATAAGTAGAGAATCTATTTGTGCCAAATTTGAGGACTGCAACCCACGAAACATAGATTCAAGTTGTTTTGAATATATGTTCCTGCAAAGGGTTTTTAAAAACATTTGTAATTTTGATAGGTATTGCTAAATTGCCCTCCAAAAAGTCGATTACCAATTTGCATTCCCATTAGCAATGTATGAAATCTTGCCAGTTTCCCTACCTTTTGCCAAAAACAAGGTTTTGTTTTGTTTTGTTTTTTTTTTTTTTTTTGAAGACAGAGTTTTGCTCTGTTGCCTGGGCTAGAGTGGCATGGCGTCAGCCTAGCTCACAGCAACCTCAAACTCCTGGGCTCAAGCGATCCTTCTGTCTCAGCCTCCCAAGTAGCTGGGACTTACAGGCATGAGCCACCGTGCCCGGCTAATTTTTTCTATATATATTAGTTGGCCAATTAGTTTCTTTCTATTTATAGTAGAGACGGGGTCTCGCTCTTGCTCAGGCTGGTTTCGAACTCCCGACCTGGAGCAATCTGCCCGCCTCGGCCTCCCAGAGAGCTAGGATTACAGGCGTGAGCCACCGCGCCCGGCCATCCATCTTTTCTTATATATTCTTATGTGTCATTTCCTTTTCTGTGAATTGTCTGTTGATATCCTTTTTGTACTTTTGGTCTTTTCTTTTTCTTTTTGATTTAAAGGAACTCTTTATATATTAGGTCTTTGTGATATATGTATTAAATATTTTTTCTTAATTTGTCTGATATTGTCCATTATGTTTACAATTAAATCTTTTGTTATATGGCCTTTGGATTGTGGGCCATATTTACACTTACATTGTGAAATGTGGTTTTGTTTTTTATATATTAGTCTTTGATGTATTTGAAACTTTTCTTGATGTATGGCCTGAGGTATGAATATAGCTTCATGTTTTCTAGATTTCTACAATACTTTGTCCCAATATCATCTTTTATTGAATAGTCCGTATTTTTCCTACTGATAAGCAGGCCACTTTCTTCTTGATTTTTCTGGTCTATTTTTGGATTATCTGTTTTATCTTGCCATGTGCTAATTCCACACTGTTTTAACAGTTGATGATGTCTTATAGTATACTTTAATATATGGAAAGATTAGTACATTACTTACTCTCATTTATGTTGGCTATTTCTTGTTTCTTCATATCAACCATAGACTTACCTTTTCAAATTCTTCCTCCAGAGCTGCCCCTAGCATTTTTGTGAGCATCATGTTAAATTTATAAATGAACTTCAATTCCCATCTCTATGACAAATAAGTATTTCCATCTAGAAAGTCCAGCATTGGGTGGCTGCAACTAGTGAGGGCCTGGTGCTGCTTCATAGCATGGCGGGAGAGCAGAAGAGCAAGCAAGCATGTGTTAAAAAAGAGCAGACCCACTCTTGGGAGAACTAGCCAGAGAGAGCTACATTATTCTTTATCAGAGCTGAGCCTGCATGACCTAAGCACCTCCTTCTAGGCCCCATCTCCCAGCACTGCCACATTGCGGAATTAATTTCCAACATGTGAACTTTTGGGAACACACAAACCATAGCACGTGGTTTTATTCCTTTGTGCTACTTTTTGGGTATTCACCTTGGATATGCTTTTGAGTTCATTATTTTTCTCTTTGGCTGTCTGAACCTGTTCTTGGACTGATTAAGGCTTTAATTTCAGTGACCTATTTTTAAATGTATATAATTTTTATTTGCTTTTCTTTAAAATCTTCCTGGTTTTTATTGTGTAAAAGTAATTATTTTATGGTCTTTATCTGATCTTATTGTGTATGCATGTCCAGGGGGGTATTGTCTAGCTGTTCTTTTGAATTATGAGATCTCCTTTAACAGGCCTTGTTTTTCTTTTCTCTTTTTTAATTTTTTTTTTAATTTTAACGTATTATGGGGGTACAAGTGTTAAGGTTACTTATATTGCCCATGCCCCCCTCCCTCCTTAAGTAAGAGCTTCAAGCATGTCCATCCCCCAAACGTTGCACATCTTACTCATTGTGGTTGTATACACCCATCCCCTCTGCAGTCTCACCAGCAGTGTAGGAGTGTTCCTCTCTTTTCTGTTCAAGTCCATTATTTCTTTGTTGATTTTCTGTTTGGGGGATCTGTCTTGTGCTGTCAGTGGGATGTTAAAGTCTCCAACTACTATGGTGTTGTTGTTTATTACTATTGTTGTAGATCAAGTGGAGTTTGATTTATGAATCTGGTGCACCAAGGTTGGGTGCATATATATAGAATTGTTATGTCTTCTTGTTCAACTGTACCTTCACCATTATATAGTGACCTTTATCTTTTATTACTTCTGTGATTAAAGACTAAGTTATCTGTAATTCAGCAGCACCACACCAGCTTTCTTGGCTTCCGTTTGCTTGAATATCATTCTCCACGCCTTCCTTTAGTCTAATTGCATCCTTGCAGGTTAGAATTGTTCCTGAAGCAGCAGCAGATACTTGGCTTGTGTTTTTTTATCCATTGGCCAGCCTAGTCTCTTGAGTGGGGAGTTCAAGCCATTCACATTTATGAGATAACTGATAGGTGGGGCAGATTTCTGTTCCTTATGTTGGGTTGAACTTTGTTGCTTTGTTTTCTCTCTTGAGTCATTGTAGTGTCTGGGCTTTAATCTTTAGCTTTGAGTAGATTTACATTCGTGACTGTTTATTGTGCTGATCTGTGGGTAACACTGTTTTTTTTTTGTTTTGTTTTGTTTTTGAGACAGAGTCTCACTTTGTTGCCCAGGCTAGTGTGAGTGCCGTGGCGTCAGCCTAGCTCACAGCAACCTCAAACTCCTGGGCTCAAGCGATCCTTCTGTCTCAGCCTCCCGAGTAGCTGGACTACAGGCATGTGCCACCTGCCCGCTAATTTTATATATATATCAGTTGGCCAATTAGTTTCTTTCTATTTATAGTAGAGACGGGGTCTCGCTCTTGCTCAGGCTGGTTTTGAACTCCTGACCTTGAGCAATCCGCCCGCCTCGGCCTCCCAGAGAGCTAGGATTACAGGCGTGAGCACCGCCGCCGCCGGTACACTGTTTTGAGTACTTCTTGAGGGCTGGTCTTTTCTGGTGAATTCCCTCAGTCTTTGCCTCTCTGAGAATGTCTTGATTTCTCCTTCATATACAAAACTTAGTTTTGCAGGGAATACAATTCTAGGCTGGGCATTGTTCTGTTTCAGAAGAGTGAGAATGGAGCCCTAGTCTCTCCTTGCTTGTAAAGTCTCAGTAGAGAAGTCTGGGTGTTATTTGAATTGGCTTTCCCTTGTATATTACTTGCTTCTTTCATCTTACAGCTCTTAGAAGGGCCTCTTTAGTTGATATTTTGGTCAGTCTGATGACTGCATGTTGTGACGTCTTCCTGTTTGCATTGAATCTCCCAGGGGTCCTCTGAGCTTCTTGAACTTGTATCTGGAGATTTTTAGCAAGGCCTGGGAAATTTTCCTCT